CTACGTTGTCGTAGCACAAAACAATTTGAAGTCCCTAATACCGTCAGTGTATTTTGACGAAAGAAGATCGAAAAAAGGTAGGCTTACATTTTCAAGCAATAAAGGATAATTTGCTGATTTAGAAACATTACCGTATATTTAAAAGCTCAGCTTTGTTGTTAACAAAATTGACTTTAGCTAGTTCATGTAATAGTAAGAATAAGCTTTTACTTTTGTTCTTTGCGCTTTCTAATGTGTGTAATAATCGAATAATAAATTTTAAACCTTTTATATCAATAATAAAGGTGAATATGGATATAGAATAATTTTATACAGTGAGTGACTAATAGTTATGACAGCGTACTTATATACAGATTATACACAGATATTACGTTAAGCGGCGCCATATTTAGTATTATTAAAGCGGAGAGTCAATTATGTTCTGAACTCAATTTAAGAGATTAGTATTATAGAGTAAGAGACACGAGAGCGACGGCCATCATATGTAGCTATAGACATTCAAGTGCTACCTAAGTTTTTAAAGGCATTCTAATTTAACCTTTAGAGTAGATGGTTAAAGGTCACTTTTAAATAGATTAATATGCCTATACTTTAAATATTTCATTATTAAATACTACAGTAGAGTTTTAGAGTAATGTTAAATGACAAAAATAAAACATTACAATATACGTTTATAGGTTTATATATATTCATCTATTCAATTTTAATTTAGTATTAATTTTTTTTAAACTTAATAGCTGCAAATAAGAGAAATATAAACATTATATTTTATTTTTATTTAATCCCACTTGCAATGTATATATATACCTATGTATAAACTTACAGATAATATGAGACTTAGCTGTCCATGTATGTCGAGTTAAAGACAGATTATTATCTCCTGCAGCTAAGAATTTAATAACTTAATTTAAATTCAATTATTTAAATACTCTTAGTACTTATCATAAACAAAATAATCGAACGACTTAAACGCTACGTAGATTGATTTTATCAAATACGTATTATCGTTATTTTTAACTAAATTTCGTGTAAAATTTCCCCTTTAAAGGAAGTTAATTTGAGTAGCAGCACTTTAAATACCATAAATCGTGACTTAAAAGTTGTTGTTTCTCGCAACATTCCTTGTGAAGTAAGCCGAAGCAATGTAGTAGTATTTTACAACTCTGTTCTTGGCTTTCCACAAAATTTAGGACAAGGAGTATTAAAAAAGAGGTCACGTTAAAAGATAACTGTAAATAAGTTTATATTTGCAATTTTTATTTAAATATGTTTACTTAATAGTAACTCAACTTATCTTGGTTTCATGTATTTTTCGAGTATAAAATAAGTATGTAGTTTTTAATTGTTATTTTATTGTACCAAAATGAATTGTACCTAGTGATATAACTCACAAAATAAATACATATATTAATTACTATTGTCTGGCGTTATATAACATACAGGTACTTTATTGCTTCGATGGGCAGGCGATTGACCTTTAACAAAATTAATCATCAGTAGACTATGTTTTTTTGTAATATTTCAAACTTTTTACCGTTTATACAAGTTTTTAGTATATTAAATCCAAAAATTTAATATAGGAAAAAGTTCACAATACTATGTAAACTTTTTTAGTCCCTTTGTGCAAAGATTTGTAAAATGATACGATTTTGCTTAAACTTAACGCAGATTTTTATTTGATAACAAGTGATTCTTATGCATTATAGATTTTACCTAACGATTTTTATATTAATATAACTATGTTTTGAATAACTATTCGCGTAGAGCGAACCTCTTTACAGTGTCAGTACCCGTAAGTTTATGTATATATTACTGCTAATTTTTATTCTCAACTCAATTTTCTTAACGGTGAAGGAAAACATCGTGAGGAAACCTGCATGCCTGAGAGAACCTATCAAGTTTTCAAAAGACATGTGAAGTCCGCCACCCCGCACTTGGCCAGCGTGGTGGATTACGGCCTGATTCCCCTCGTACTGAATGGAAGCCCGTGCCCAGCAGTGGGACTTTAAAAAAAGGCTGAATACACAATTTTTATTATATTAATGTCTATCAAAAAGATGACTTACTGCGAACTTTCTATAGACAGGCTTTATTTAACTACTTTTGTCCGACAATATTATTTCATATACCATTAAACCTTTGACACGTCAGTGCACTAACGTTATTGTTGAATCGACATTACATAATGCTTACTTCTCGCGTATCGATCCACCCGCATGGCTCGCTGCCAATAACAAACTCTTCTACGCTCTGCTGTTCTAGAAGTTAGTCCCCCAATAATATCGGAACAGCGTGTAAATATTACCGTCGCTACCATTTTTTTAGGATCACTATGCTTCAATATCCATTGGTAGCGAAATACTTATTCATTCCTCTTATAGGTTTTTGTACTATAGCATTATATTAAATTAAAGGTTCTTGATATATTATCATTTTTTAACCCCCGACGCAAAAACGACGTGGTGTTATAAGTTTGACGTGTTTGTGTGCGTCTGTTTGTGGCATCGTAGCTCCCGAACTAGTTTGTCTTAAAGTAAAAAGAAATATTATTTTCTTTTAAACTTTTATTAAAGAAAAAATGTTTTTATAATTAATTAAAATAAATCTTATATATATAAAAATGAATCCCTATTTCCCTTGGTCACGCCATCACGCGTGAACGACTGGACCGATTTAACTATTTTTTTTTGTTGTGTTTGTTATTGTCAGGAGAAGGTTGTTATGAAAGAAAAAATTGAAAAATTAACGAATAAAATCAATAAAATGTGTATGGCTAACGCTGGCTAATAACCATTTATATCTATTTAAAACGTACCTAGCGACGAACCCGAGCGAAGCGAGGGTGACCCGCTAGTAATATATAACTATAAAAATTGAAAAGAAGTATACCCCATCTCAGCGGTAACATTATCTTGTATTGCTTTTGATTATATGGCAAATTAGGTATAGAGATTATAATTAAAGATTATCCCTGCGGTTAAATATAAGTGAGCCATGCGCGCTATTTAATCTATATCGCTATCAATTATCATCAATCGCTAATGGTTCTGGTGAGACTTACTTAATACTTTAATTGATTAAATGAGACAGATTAAAACTAAAACTTAAGCTATATTTTTTACTTTTTAAGAACTGAGTAGGTACTTAGTTTTTTACTAATCCATACATATAATAAAATTGTAACTAAGCCGAATCTGTACATTAGATATTTTTTGGAAAATCTTATTGAAATAAACATTATTATCGATACAGAGGCCGAATCTATAGTTCAAGAATTTTTGTCTGTCTATCTGTATGCCTGTCTGTTACCGCATCACAGAAAAATCACTGGAGGGATTTTGAGGAAATTTGGTATGGTGATAGTTGGTTATCCGGGTCAATATATAGAATACATTTTACCGCGGGAAAATATCTCATTTTTGAGAAAAAATACAAAAACTGCAATGTAAGAGTATACTAATATGTAAAACCTACGAATTTGGTTTTTAGTCTTCTGAACGCAGGCGGAGCCGCGGGCAATGCTAGTTATAAATATAGAATTAAAAAAAACCTATTTTACAATCGAAACCCAAATAAAAATATAGAAAGTAAAGATACACGGCAAAACAACAGGTTAGAGTCACTTTAACATGATCGAGTCAGAGCGGTTTATGCGTATGATTTTTTAAATAAAGAATATAATCTATATATATAAAAGAAAGTCGTGTTAGTTACACTATTTATAACTCCAGAACGGCTGAACCGATTTGGCTGAAAATTGGCGGGGAGGTAGCTTAGAACCCAGAGACGGACATAGGATACTTTTTATCCCGTTCGACTGCGTTCCCGTGTGATATTGTTTGTCTGTTTGTGTGTTTGTACGGGCTAATCTCCGAATCTATTGGACCGATTTAAATGAAATTTTGCATGGTGGTACCTTATATCCCCGGACAACGTCTTAGATATTTTTTATCCCGGAAAATATAATGGTTCCCGTGGGATAGTTAAAAAACTATTATAACTTATACAACTTATGCACCTAATTTAGTAAAATTTAACATTCTGATACCTTATATTGCCGGTCAAACAACCGGTTACTTTTCATCCGGGAAAAATGAACGGTTCCCGTGGGAACTAATAGATTTTTATTAGTGTTTTTCTAGAGGCGAACCCGAGCGAAGCGAGGGTGAGCCGCTAGTATTACATAATTAATTAGTATATTATTAATGTAAAACCATACTAATATAATTAATCTGAAAGTTTGTCAGAATAGATGGATGGATGGATGTTTGTTATTCTTTCACGACAGAACTTGGCACTGAGATAGGCTATAGTCTGGAATATCAATTAGGTTACTTTTAATCCCGGAAAAATGTACGGTTCCCTCGGGATAGATTTGTTTTCGTCTAGGGACGAACCTGAAGCGAAGCGAGGGTGAGTCGCTTGTATTTAATTTTAGAATCAAAAATTAAATTAATCCTCAAGTAACTTCAAGAATTTTGAGACAATAAATTTGATACTTTCAGTTATTACATTGAAGTCATATTATGAAAAAAGTCAATTTATATATTTACTAGCAGAACCCGCGGTTTCGCTCGCGCTAAAACTCCAAAAAATCGCTAAAAAGGTAGTTTCATTCAGCAAACTTTCATCAATTCCAGCAATTTCGAAAGTGCTAGAACAGGTATTTATTTAAATTTATTGAAGAGAATTAATACCAAGTTTCAAGTAATTCTGATCATAAATATTTTTTTGGATTGTATTACATATAAAGCGTTTTCCCGTGAGAATTAGGTAATCTCCCGCGGTAAAAAATAGCCTATGTCACTCTCCAGCCCTCCAACTATGTCCACACAAAAAATCACGCCAATCCGTTACTCCGTTTTAACGTGAAAGAAGGACAAGCAAACAAACACACTTTCACATTTATAATATTAGTATGGAAGTATGTATTATTTCTTTAATAAAAGGTTTTGTATTTTTACAGATTGACTACATAGTATCAGACAAACGACGTAATCATGGCCTTCGCTGGTCTCAAGAAACAAATCAACAAAGCTAACCAGGTAACGTCATTTTTGTAATGTAACACGATGTGTAATGCTTATAACTAAATATAAATATGTTGGGACAATAACACAGCACCATCTAGTTCCATGGTAAGCTACGAGGCTTGTGTTATGGATACCAGATAGTTGATACACTACACATATATAACTTTAAATACATACGTCATATATATTAAAAATATAAACACCCATGACTGGAGTCCAAACATTCGTGCTCATCACATAAATGAATGCCCCCAGCGGGACTCGAACCCGCGACCGCTGGCATAGCAAGTAGGGTCACTACAAACTGAGCCAAACGTGTCGTCAAATCAATTATATCATGAAGGTATGAGTGAAGCTTGGCATTAAGGAAAAGGTTACATAGTTCAGAGTATTTAGGGTTTCGTATATCAAAGTAAATAGTTCCACAGAGTGACAGACGTTTAAATAATTGATCTTTATAGGATAATAAATAATTCTCATTCCGATTTTTGGGGGTATAATTTTTATGGACCCACTTGAAATGTTATAAAAGTACAGTTGGATTATGCCAAAAATAACAAAGTATCGCAATTCAGAGCCTACAATATTTTAAGATATGAATATCTAATAGGTAAATATGTATTTTATGTATCGAAATATATTATAGTAGGGGAGCCGAAGAGGGGATTTTCTGTAGTTACTCGAGCGCGGCAGATTAACATAAAAGAGGTTACCTTGCACTCTATTGAGTACTTTCACCATAATATAAGTCTTCTATATAAAGGGGCGCGTCTAGGGAAGCCGATTAAAATATTTAAAAAATGTTTTGATAAGGCAGAAATACTTGAAACCGTCAGATTAAGCTGTGGTAGGCTAGTCACATCCTGAAAAGTGTCCAATTCAATAATCTGCCGATTTGCACAAGCCGAAGAGGCAAAAATCGACTATAAAGTTTATGATGATTTTTGCCTATTAGGCTTGTGCAAATCGGCAGATTATTAAATTGGACACTTTTCAGGATGTGACTAGCCTACCACACCTTAATCTGACGGTTTCAAGTATTTCTACCTCATCAAAACATTTTTTAAATATTTTAATCGGCTTCCCTAGACGCGCCCCTTTATATAGAAGACTTACCCCCATATTCTTAGTCGTAAACTCGAGATTTCCTCGACTCGACTCAGCCTCACTGAGGTGGTTCGGTATTCATAGACGTCATTTTGTCCCTTACCTCAACTATTCGCCTCGAGTAAGGTGAGGAATACTCGAGGACCGAACTGTCAAATGTAAGGTACCTCGCGATCTACCTTGAGGAAACCTCGAGACAATTATTGATAAAAACATCGTGAATTATTTAACATTTTATTATATTTTAAAGTTATTTTAGTGTTTAAAACGTCTTTTGAAAAGTTTATTGAGCATATCGATGACAATACCTACGATTATTATTTATCACGGCGCTATTTACGGAATGCAAGTAATCCTACGACTAACAAAAAACGCCAAATCAAAATGACAACTACGGATTTTGTGTATAGTTACTACCTCAGACTAACAAAATCCTCCAGATAGTGACGTAATTCATGACGTTTTCCTCGACTCTCACTCGACTCACACTCACTCGAGGGATTCTGAGATTTCCTCAAGATTATGTTTATGAATACCGATTTCGAGGATCGTTTGAGGCCTTCCTCGAACACGCCTCAGTCGAGTTTGAGTCGAGGGAGTTTCGAGGTAACAACTAAGAATATGGGTGATATATTGTGGTGAAAGTACTCAATAGAGTGCAAGGTAACCTCTTTTATGTTAATCTGCCGCGCTCGAGTAACTACAGAAAATCTCCTCTTCGGCTCCCCTACTATTAGATTTGCTTTGCATCGGCTGGCACCGACTTCGAAAATATCTGATTAGGTATCTATTCTAAATGAAAACCTCCGTTTAGTTATTTTTTACATTTTAGTGCCTGGAAGTCGGTTCTTATTTTTTTTAAGTTTTTTTTTTAAGTATAAAGTGTATAAAAGTTTTAATGTACATGAAAAATATATTTATCAGATAAATTAAATCAACTTATTCTTCCAATTATGTAGTGAATGAAATATAAAAAAAAATCCGATAATAGTATAAACAGACGTCGAAAATAATTATTTGTAATGTCTAGGATAAGATGACAAACAGTAGCGATAAAGAAAAGTTTTATTCAGTTTTGTTCCCTTAATTCAATTTTTAGGGTTCCCGAAGTTTGCCAACAGCACATTATTACTAAGTGTCCGCTCTTCGTCCGTATGTCTGTCAGCGGTCTGTATCTCATGAAGCGTAATAGGTAGAGAATTGAAATTTTTACGCAATGTGTTTCTGTATACAGCCATTTTTTTATCGTCCCACTGCTGGGCACGGGCCTCCCTTTAGTACGAGGGGAATCAGGCCATAGTCCACCACGCTGGCCAAGTGCGGGTTGGCGGACTTTACATGTCTTTCGAAAACTTGCTAAGTTCTCTCAGACATACAGGTTTCCTCACGATGTTTTCCTTCACCGTAAGGCAAGTGGTAATCATGTTAGAAATGATTCGCACATGAAAATATCAGAGGTGCGAGACCCGGGATTTGAACCCGCTTCACTCGGTTTCTCAAGCGAGTGTCAGTGTAGTGTCAGTGTGTTTGCCTATAAATATTGCCGCTATAAATAATAAAAAGTATTTAAAAAGTACATAGGGTTATATTTTGTGCGATGGTATGCAACCCTTCGTTTGCGAGTCCCTGTTTTATTGATTGATGATTTTAAATAGTGTCAGTTTTTATATATTTTGCACAAAACTATTGCAAGCAACATATTTTTTGATAACAATGTATTAAGTGTTTTATAGACAATGCAACTATTTTTTTTTGAATAAGTCTGTTTTGATTAGTCTGTGCATTTCCTTGCCACATGAGCACATTTAGCTATGTCTCAGGTGGATCGCAACGTGATTGATAGCTCAATAACGAGGCGACTCACTGCACTGTCCCCTCGGGAGCAATTATAGTGACATGAATGCTTTATAACTTTACGAGCACATACTGCCATTATCCCTTTTGAAATAACTTTTATTTAACAAACTACAACCGACTTATATTATCACAATATTTTATGTGTCATAGAAAACAATGCGCGAAAATAAAAAGACAGGAACTCGGACTATGAATTTAAATTAGAATAAAAGATATCCATTCTCTACATTTAACTTACAATTGAAGCAACATCTACAAAATATTTCTCTCGTTTCCACGAAGTTTGTTGAATAATTTCCTGAGTCTGCACGTGATCAATAGCATCAATGTCATTAAATCAGAGTCCTTCGTTGGGATGAAAGGCGACCGTGACCCACAACGCCGCCGCGTCCTACATAGACGATGTGCCCCAATTATACCGGCCTTTGTAACCCGCATCTTCTATATAGTAATAGACCGTTTCAAATCAACGAAACAAAGCTGATTAGAATAAGTAAGGAATCATAGAGAATAAACAAATATACTCGCATATAGAATATTTTGAATTTTGCTTGAAGGATAAAGAAATATGGCATATTGAACCAACGATCATAATAGGCTAAATGTACATATTATGTGTATTTTGTATTTTATAACGTATAAAAAATAAATTTTAGTACTGTTTTATACTTTGTTGATCATATCCACCATTTCACCATTTTGAATTATCGGATTTTTTAGCTAGTGGTTCGTTTGTCCTGAAAACTAACCTTGTATTTAGAAATGTGTATTCTGAATTCCAATATTGAAATGGCAATACTAATTGGAAGCATTCAAGCTGCAGAGCATTGCGGTGCAGTTTTAATCTCTTATAGGTGCAAGTTTGAGCTGAATTCGGTCAAGGCTATATTCCGACCTGCGCTTTTGTGCTCAACTGAGGGAACCGATAATAGTTCACCCTTTTATGCGTAATATTGCATTCGAATGCTTTTAATGCACAAAGGATTTTATGTTCGTATTTTAAAACTATTTATTGTGTTCAGAGGAAGTCAACATTCTTTTGTTACAAAAATATTTACATTTACAAACGTACAGATTAATTTCTACCTACAGATTCGCCGGTGTTTGTAATTTTATTTTATCCAAAACGTAATGACAAACCATTATTATATAAGAACTTATAGAACAGAGCGCTCAAGTTTTAGGTAGAGCAACTTATAATCTCGACTGATCAAAGTATTTATGCTTGTCTTTAATTTTCAGTGTTTGTTTTGTAATAACTTAGTTAATACATATCCATTCAGGCTTTCTGGTCAGTTATTCTGAGGGATGCTAAGTATTTTCGACAGATAGATAAATTATATAACTTTTAGTCTTTTTAGTAAACGCACAGAAATCTTAATAATAAGGTAATAGAAATGCCATTGCGGTCTTTTAGTACTGGAACGCGTGTCGCCGGCTTGCAGCTACCAACACATTGACAAACAATAAATACACACTATCGCTCACACATGCATTTTGCATTGTTGCAACAAAAATTAAACTTTAAGCGATGACATTACGCAATATTTTCTAAAAACGCATAATCTCAGAACCCGTGATCCCTGTGACCAATAATAAACGTGTGCGAAAAGCACAGAATGATATCGCGCGCTCACTTCTAGTGCAGCACAAAGCGCATAATGCTCATATCGATAATTTTCCATTGAGTCTTGCAACAATAGGTAACTAATTTATTGAAAGTGTTTTATGTTTCATTCCTCGACGCGATTTTAGACGATTTATTTATTTTCATAAAGGGAATACAATAAAACGTTAAAAGTAAGTAATTTTTTTTATTATTATATAGTTATACACTGAACAGCTACTATATACTCAACAGCGATATATTGTTTTTAATTCTAGTTTAATTTAATGAAGAGTCTGACTGAATTTTGTTTTTATAATGTTTTTATTGACTTGCATATATATGCATAAGTGATATAAAAATTGACTTGTATAACTACATATATGTTATTATATTCTAAATTGGGTGTATACCTTTGCAATAAATATTATTATTATTATTATTATACAAAAGTTATGCAAACTATTTGTTAAAATCCTATACATTTTTAAGAATGACTTAAATTTTTTTATAGAATTTCTATGTTATGTTTATCAAACAACTCGCCCTTAGAATTATTTACTCAATCAAATCAAATCAAAAAAAAATTTGGTAAATGCGGAACATGTCAACGATACAAGGATATTCAACGCATACTATTTTTGACTTACCCATATACATAACAATAATAAGCCTACCTCCTAATAATTTTCTGAATGAAAAAGTAGTTTAAAAGTACGAATTTACAGATAATCGTTGATTAATGACTTTTTATAAATTATTCAGACAGAAAGAAAACATACATAATGAGATGTAACAATTAAATATTTAACGAAAAATATTAAGCCAAACGTAATAAATTTTCGATAAAAAATAGTGGTGGCACGTCACTAATTCGCGGTCAACTTATGCGGCGTGTCCTTGGAATTTACGTACGCGACGATTATGTTCTTTACGCATGACTATTATTACATTGCTGCTTTTAGCAGTTGTAATAGTAGACATGAACAAGCTTAAGTGGTAATGGTTATTGAATAGAAAAAAAAAAAAACGTTTTCCTGCGATAATCGTAGTAGTGGTGGTGAAAACATTTGATTTGGCTATATTCCTTAAAAACGACATTATTTCAATAATTAAGTACTTATATATGAAATGTTATCCCTTTATTTGTAAAGTTACAAATTGTGGAAGAATTTCCGCAGTTGGATATGCTGCAAAACACCATGTTTACCTCTCCGTGTCTCAAATAACACTAGTTACCGCAACAAACGCTTTACACGCGCTTGTGACCTACGAGTCACATGCACGGCGACAAGGTCACGCGTCTATGCCACTTCTATTAGCTTATTATTAAGATTTCTGTGAGTAAACTGTACATAGAGTTATTAATCATCTCATTTTTTTAACGTCCCACTGCTGGGTACTGGCCACCTTTCAATGCGAGGGAGAGGGATCAGGTTAGAATAATTATTATAGTGAGTCGTGGAAATATTATCAAAATTTGATATTTGATAATTAATTATTCGTACCTACTTAAAATCTATTTCGAAAATACTTATTACATTTGCATTCATTAAAACAAATTATTACCGATAGTAATTTGGTACATGCGCCTTTAATTATTCTATCAAATAATTGTACCAGGTAGCCCGATAAAAGTTTTCAGAACATGTGATAAAACCCAAACAAATACAAAAGAAAAACAATCAAAGAGTACTCTCTGTACAAGAAATCTTACCTAATTCTTTAAAATGATAATACACTCGAGCATATATTGCGGTGTCCTTGCTTACAAGAGTTTATATTTCTATACATGAATCTCGTGAACTTTGAACGTAACTTAGGGGTATGATTGTTCAATATAAAGGTCAACTTTGAGGATACCTTCCGTTTATATATTATGTAGTACATAAGATAAAGTTATTTTATAAAAACTGGCATTTATAATGCAAAATATGTGTTACAAAATTTATTGAAATAAGAAAGGAGATAAACGGAATACCTAAACGAAAAATTAATTTTATTACTAATTAATTTAACCCAAAACATATTATTATATATATATATATATATATAGGTTATTTGTACAATATGTACTTGTTTCTTACCTGTTGAGATAAAATAAGACTAAAAAAACAATTAAATTCTTTTACAGTATGTCACTGAAAAAATGGGCGGTGCCGAAGGCACAAAACTTGATCTGGACTTCGTGGAAATGGAAAGAGTAAGTGTTGTCATAACAATTATAGGTAATTTTGCGAAAATATATAATTAAATTCTCTTCTCAGTAAAATATTATCTTGGAAAAACACCTCGACAAACATTTATATCGAAGAAAAGTAGCTGTCCCATTTACATACATTTACATTAATTCAACATTAACTGTTATAATCTCGAACATTTCTTCTTGACAATGAGCACAAAAAACTCTTAATAGTAACAATATCAATATCTAAAATTCCCGATATATATTGTGTTTTAAATCTAGTATGCTTATCATACGTGCAAATAGTTGACCGTTAAGAATTTAAAAATCAAAAACAGTGGACTGTATTAAAGAACAATTCAAATATACAAAAAAAAATAGTTTTATAAATAAAATACAGCAGAAATATATTTACAAAGAGTGTGAAGTGAAACTTATCACATAAGAAGTAATTGAGTAAGCGCTCAAATCTTAGCGGCACGGCGCCCGCAATGCGGTTGGCACAGAAGCCCCTATTCTTTTTTTTTAACCATATCGATTCTTTTCAATGACCTATTATGTTAATGGCATAAAAAGAATCTGTCATTAGGATATTCGACGTTTCTAATAAAATACATTTAAACTATTCATTCATCAAGACAACGTATTTCGATCTTTTCCCAATATTTATCTTTTACGCTTAAAATATTTCAAAGAACTTCAATTTCGTTAACAAGATTTCATAAAAACATTTGTAAGAGTTAAAATTTCAGTTTAGGGTATTTTATAAAAGTGTTTTATAAATTATTTTTTTCTTTATCTTATAAATGATATTTAATACTAATATAAAATGCTTTACATTATATTTATTATTTATAGTATAAATTATGATTCATGCGAATGTTTCTCAATGTTATTATTAATAAATATTCTTCTTTCATTAGAAAACAGACGTAACATGCGAGCTCGTTGAAGAGTTACAAATAAAGACGAAAGAATTTCTTCAACCAAATCCTACAGCGCGAGCAAAAATGGCTGCCGTAAAAGGCATTAGTAAACTAAGTGGTCAAGCAAAAAGTAATACTTATCCTCAACCTGACGGCGTGTTGGGTGACTGTATGCTGCATTATGGCAAGAAACTTGGAGAAGATTCTATTTTCTGTACGTATATCTGGAAATTGATTTTATATTCACGGTACTATTATTCAGGTCGATCTCTAAAGTCAATATTTACTAAACCCTATACTAAAGTAACTAAACAATATGTAAATAAAAGTATTTTCAGCGCTTGTTATTAGAGTATATAATAAAGAAGCCTTTGTTTCTCTCATATCATAAGTCATTTATTCAGTTATTTTTGTAATACTTATTATTTTTTTATATAGCACAATGCCTAATCGAGATGGGTGAAGCGTTGAAACAAATGGCAGATGTGAAATACTCTTTAGACGACAACATCAAGCAGAGCTTCCTCGAACCACTCCACCATTTGCAGACCAAAGACTTGAAAGAAGTTATGGTAAATAAATATTTCTTGTCTTCTCCATTCTACGTGAAATTGGCAAAGTAACCTGTGCTCAACTGGCACGCTTTGAAGCCATTAACAAGAGAATTTAATTGAATAAATATTTTTATGTTTCTATAACGGATATTATTATTAAAAAAACAAACGGTCGAATGAAAACATTATCATAGAAAAATATTTCAGAATATTATATATTTTGTGATTAGACACACACAATGTAATTTTATTAAGTTAATTAGTCATATATATGTAATACTATCTAATTTAAGTCAAAGCAATTTTTAAGTGTTTTTATTGTTCCAGCATCACCGGAAGAAATTACAGGGACGTAGGCTCGATTTTGATTGCAAACGACGAAGACAGGCAAAAGGTGATTAATAAATTTTAAATAGATATTTAGTTTTTGTACATATTTTTTTTACTTTGTTTATTTTTTATACAATGTTCTGTTTCCCCCTTATTTTGCAAACATCAAGGCATTTTAAAAGGCCCCTACATGAGCCCAAGCCATGGATCTCCGAGGCATGGTATGTTTAGTGTGGATTTAGAAAACGCTAAAAGAAAATAAACGATAACGTTGTAGGTGTTTGTTGTATTTTAAACAAAATGAAGCTAGATGAAAAAAAATAAAGTTTTTAACAATAATCCCTTATCTATCTTGCTTCCAAATAGGCTAGAAATTATTTTACAACAATTTTTGATAATGTGAACTTAATATTGAAATTTTCATATCAATTTTTATAATATAAGCTCGTTTCTTACATGATGTCCCGTCAATGCAACGTTCCTGCGACGCTCACTGCATTCAATCGCCTCGCTTTAAATTCGCCGTTTGGTCTGTATTGTGTTGTTATTTTTATTTTTTTTATTTTTTCTATTTATTTTATTCCACGGTTTGTTTTATTTTGTGTAATTTCATTTATTTGATATGATTGTGTATAACCTGGATACATCAGGCTCTCATATTCCAGACGACGAGATCCGTCAGGCGGAAGAGAAGTTCGCTGAGTCTTTAACTTTAGCTCAGATTGGCATGTTCAATCTTCTTGATAATGATGTAAGTTATCTATACTATATACAATACAAATAAATAAGTTTAATATAACAATTAAACTTAAAAAACTAAAGTCATAATTTGGTATTTTTTATCTGTATGTTGTATATTATAAAAAAAACATGTGTCTGTACTATTGTACGCAGAAGTTATACTTTTTTGGCGTAACAAAACAAAAATAGGTAAAGATTTCATCCCGTATATCACGTCTGTTTATAAAAGGAATGCAGCTAACTTCATCATGTCGCTTTTTGGCTGTTTGTATTTTTCAAACGTGCTAAAAGAAGTATAACTCCAGTAATTAAAATGTATATATATTGTTTTATTGTATGAAATATTATTGTAACAAAACAACAATATAGGTAGAGCAAGTAGCGCAATTGTCATTCTTCGCGGAGGGCCTTCTAGAGTACCACCAGCAATGTACGGAGATCCTCAAGGGACTCGTCTCTACGCTAATGGAGAAGTAAGTTTTAATGCATAACGTATGTTAATAATAAAATTTTATATAACGACTTAGTTAAATTTTCACTGTTCTTTAGAAGTATTAGCTTCCCTTTTTTAATTTATATATCTTTAAATTTTAAGGATTACTAATTTAATTATGTGAAATGGGATATTTACCGGGTTTTTATAATTAGATTTGTGCTCACGATATTTTAGCTTTGTTGCCCGTGACTACGCTAACGGGCAAATGGAACAAACATCCTGTAACATAAACAAGAATCCCGTTTCCTTTCTACTTATAATTATCCAAATATTTATTTCATTTACGTAATTCGTAATAACAAAAATATAAAACTTCAACCGTAAAAACAGGAAAGAAGAAGCTGTCAGTCGTCCAAAACTGGAGTTCGTACCGAAAACGTTAGCCGACCTGCACATCGAGGGCATCCACGACTTGAACCATGGTAGGCGGTACGGCTCCTCTCACAGCCTCTCGAGGCCACGCCTCCCCCCCACCTCCTCCCTAAGGGACATCCCCTCCTCGGACCCCCTCCGCGCCTGGGACTCCCCCCCGGTTACCCTCAACGCCCACCCTCGACCCAAACCGAGGCACATAGCGAGGGACCCCTGGACAGGTGATTGATGTTTCTTTTGCTGGGTTATTTTTTATAGTGTTTTGGGTTTTTTTATTATTGTTTCGATTGATTTGGGTTGGTGGAAGGTGGGGTCGGCTAATAGGGGAACTGCACGGTTTTTTTGGGGTTATGGTTTTCATGGCAAAGGTGGTAGCTCACGTAATTATACTGTTTACTGCTGTACGTACTTTTTTCCTTAAAAAGTAAGCCGACTTTAATATTAGTCTAAAAGTCTGAAATAAGTCCATTCGTAGAGGTTTTTTTATTTTAAAATATATATCAGACCACCTTGCAGGTGTATTTTTTTAATAAAAAATAAAAAAAAAAAAAAAAAAAATCCAGTTTCATACACAAATCAAACTAATCAGAAATTGGTTAAAATATGCAGTCACATACATAAAAACACACTACCCTTATTTTTTGAAGTCGGTCAAGAATAAAAACGATTATCATCATTCTATGTATCCATTAGCACCGCTCACCGCTCAACACCTCATTTTCTTTGGTGATGGAAATACTTAATTTGAAATAAATATATTCATTTTCATCTATTACATCATTAGGTATATAAATATTTACAGAATAATACATTTTTAAAAATATTACTAATACAAGCTAATTAACTCATAAAATAGTGTCTGTTTCTACTTTATTTATATTTATCTATTATCTTTAACACTGACGAGTTATCATCTTCTATCCCATGGAAATTTTTCTTTTTCCGGTGATACGTGTGATACGTACTAAAGATATAGCATTATTAAATAACACTTATAGCCAGTTCTACGGCCAGCCTTTACAACTTGAACCCTTTGAACAACTTTGCGGGGAAACCCTTTCGTATCCGGAATGTCATACATAAGTGTTGATTTGGCTATTAAATCATAATGAGTACAAAGTAACATGAAATTTTATCGGCTATTTACGTATAGTTACTGCATTTTTGTTAAAAAATGACTTAAAATCGTTCCAAAATTGGTCGAGCAAAACCACAGTTGAAGTTATAACAATAGATAATTAAAGCCAAATTTTGAGTTTTGGAATCTTATGTGCTAAATAGGTTCTTTTTATTATCTCAGGCAGACACTACAATTTTATATGTATCTATACTAGTACGTACAAACCAATTTTGTTAATATTAGTTAGAAAATTGTAATAAAATCGTTGCAATCACAGCACATTGCAGATTGTTTAACTTTGTTTCTTCAGTTTCTAACACTTGAGTTACTAATTTAGTTGATTATTTTGGCTTCTTATAACTACGTATTACATAAAATAGCGGGGTCTAAACTACATGTACAGATTTTATTTCAGATACAACCCCTAAACCTTTCCTTACCTATCCTCATGCCTCTTTCCTTAAGCCTTAAGATTTAATAATAAAACTATATGCAAAAAAAAACTGTACAATTCAGATTTTGCTAATAATGTAATTATTTTGCATATAGTTTTGTTTCACTATTACATAATGTAGGAGTATGGAGCGTCTAGGTAATATTTACTTAATTTTAGTAATTTATAAATGTGTCTTTCGTATCTCTTTAAACGAGTAGACATTTCAGTGTTATATTTCTTCTTTTCAATGTTAAATGTGTAGTTTGGAAACAAAAATTTACACACTTTCTATACGTTTATATGAATTTTCAAGCAATATCTTAATTGCCAATTGAATAAGTAATTTAGTTGTTGCAATTACGTATGAATTACGTTATACGTAATGAAAACGCCATAACGAAGACTTACAAGCGTTCGAGGCAATAGGGTTACGTTATATGAATAACGACAATAGCTGATTTAGCTCTTACATTATTATCGAACAATTATATTCATAGGTTTCAATATTCGCACTTTATATGTTCAACGGTTTGGTAATTTGCTATTATTATAATGGAAATTTCCGTAGTGCTAATCGATAAACGTAGGGTTATTTTTGGAAATAGGTCAATAATTACTGAGCTGATTTTAAATAAATAATAGTGTACTCGAATATGGGTATGTGATATATGTTGTGCACTCGTGATATGAGATAGTATTGAGGCTGGGTGTTTTCGTTTGCGTCGTGGAGAAGGAGGGTCCCGCGCGGGCTCGCCCGAGCACAAGCCGCCCGGCAACCTCGAGCTCTTCCCTGGCGCCAACACGCAGCGCTCTAACAATGGTAACACACACAAACACACATACATAATAACATTATAAGTCTACCTACTTATATATCTGAACCTCATTATCTCAAATGAATTCATATTTCTATTGTACTATTTATGTATAAAACGATAGTCAACACAACTAGTACTTACATACACAGACATACAAACGTATATATACTTTTATATTACATAAAAACTCTACCGACTTATTTATATTATCAGAATATTCACTGTTTACCGATTTAATTTGTTTAACTATTTTTAATATAAGGACGGTGAACAAATTAAAATATAATAGTAAAATTCCATTCATATTAAAATTTCGCATATTACTCAATTCGTTTAGAAAACATAAATCGCGAGCTTGTATATTTTCCATTTAAAAAGAAGTTCCTTTTATATCTAAAATTAAATATTCTAGTTATTAATAGCCTTTATAAAATGATTTAAGACCCAGTATCAACAAATCCCTATCAGCTACTTATTTCTAAAAAAAGGTCGAAAATGTGTCTTAATACCTAAGTACTTATTTGTGTCCAATTAAAACTTTCCCAACATGTATTTATAATGGTTTTTATAAACACATTTAATCCATATAATTATTAATTACATGAGATATCAGCTCTATATCATTTTCCCAACATAATATTATAACAAATCTATCATCACAGACGTTTTATATATATCGCTCGAAATAACTTCTCATTTACACGAAACAAACAATATGGTGGAGTTACAACATTTACTTACTTTAAAGTTGTGTTGAAAATCACTCATACTAGATTTTAGCGATATCGTAGACAAATGTAGTGCTAAGAATAAACTCAGGACTGATAAAAAACAAAATGATCTAAATAAGAAACTAATAGATGTTATCTGTTTAGTCAACACTTAATAGGAATTATTTAAAAGCTGCAACTAAACATAATTACAAAACAAATCTTCACTCACTTCTGTTAAATGTACCTACCTCTTAGTTGTTATTGCTATCTTGTGCTTTATACTCGGCAGCATCAATGGTTTATTCCATCTCATTTAGGCATGTATCATCTAATAACTAAAATGTGTTATGTATATGTACGTCAATAAGGTGCATGACGTGACGTTTGAATCAAGCTTAATTATGTCATAGAATTTCATCATATTTCCATTTGTAAACGACAAAAGTTAATTAAAGCGAAAAAGTAAGATTCAGTTTTTAAAGCGTTATTATCTAAGAGCTACGCTTTTTAGGATGTGATGTGCTGCTTTCAATTTTGTAGCGAATGACGCCATTGTTTAGTGAACATCATAGTTTATTTTTGTATTAGTATCCACAGATCTTTTAAATAATCTGAAATAGTAAATACTTTTTTGGGATGTTTTTTTTTTTATTGTTTTATGATCAGTGAATGCTAGTAAAGAAATTTCAACATCCATTTTTTCATAGTGCCTTGTAGTGGTTAAGTGTAGGATGTAGGTGTGCTAGGTTTGCAAAAGCTTAACAATCTGACACAACCTGGCAACACAGCGTCGCCGTTGCCGTCGCCGGTCAAGTCCCCCGCCCGGACGCCGGTGGCGCCCGCCAAGGGGCCGTGCTGCACTGCGCTGTATGATTTCGAGCCGGAAAACCAGGGCGAATTGGGATTCAAGGTAAATTATCTTTTTATTTTCCTGTTTGTATATACTACTATTATTAAAAATGTAAAATTGGGTAAATTTTATAGCATATACTAACGACTTAACCTGACTTCGCTCGGGTTTGTCCCTAGGTGTAAGACAGATCTTTACTTCATACTCTATCTGTGCTTGGTACTTGATTTTGTCCAAATCCGTCCAGCTATTTTAGAGTGAAGGAGTAACGAACATACGTGCACGTACAAATTTTCGCATTCATGGTTGTATTCAGCCCTTTTTAACATCCCACTGCTGGGCACGGGCCTACCTTCAATACGAGCGGGATCAGGCCATAGTTCACCACGCTGGTCAAGTGCGAGTTGGTGGACTTCACATGTCTTTCGAAAATTTGCTAGGTTCTCTCAGAGATGTAGGTTTCCTCACGATGTCTTCCTTTACCTTAAGAGAAGTGGTAATCATGTTAGAAATGATTCGCACATGAAAATATCAGAGGTTCGAGACCCGAGGATTTGAACCCGCTTCACTCGGTTTCCCAAGTGAGCGCGTTACACAGGACTACCACTGCTTCAATAAATCGCATTCATAATAATGTCAAACATTTTAAACCTTTTATCGTCCCGCTTCTGGTCACAGCCTTCCCTTAATGCGATTAAACCAAATGGTGGCAAAATGCAGCTTAGTGGACTACGTTTTTTTATTACTTAGGTTGTTAGACTAACATAACTTTTGTGATCTGATGATTATTAAATTAATTTGTTTTATTCCTAAAGGAAAACGACGTTATCACGCTGATCAACAAAGTGGACGACAACTGGTTCGAGGGCTCCGTGAACGGCAAGACTGGCTACTTCCCCATCAGCTACGTGCAGGTCAACGTGCCGCTACCTAACATGTAAACACTTAGCATTATGGCAACACCTACACATTAGTAAGTTGGCAGCTCTGATTTATTTAACATAAATTAAATTATTTTCCGATGATTTCCAATTAATTATATCATTTCATAATTTATTTTCTTTATTTTGTAATAAAATTTCAGATTTTTGTGTTTAAAAATTTTTATTCGAAATCTTTAAATCGGAGCTGTCAATATTCAATTATAATTTAACCACATACGATGTAACTTTTGTTTTCTAATATCACCTCAACCTAAATAAGGCCTAATTAAATGAGTTTATATGCAATGTTATGCCAAAAAGTATGTATTGTATATTTAATTATTCTGCATATATTCTCTACAAAGATTATTTATAATCAGTATTAGTAATGATTATTTTATTCGTATGTGGTTGAAGTGTGTGTGCTGTTGCAAATAACCAAATATTGTATCATCATGTCACAGTATTATACTAGATCATTTAATTCAACTCTATACCTGTGTCAAAAGCTCAATATCGTAGTTACGAGAAGATTTTACCTCTTTACAAGTAAATTTGGATAGTTTCTCAGGTCTTCCAATTCTTTTGCGGGCAGATTCATTTGAAATAACCTCTATAATATTTTTAACAATCTAAATTAGTTCTTTCCATCTATGAATGAAAACACCAATACTTTATTGAGTCTATTGGAATATTATGTAGTTAGAATTTACTTTTACATTCTCTTTAATACTTTGACTTATTTTTTTTTTCTTGGAACAATGAATCTTAGACGTGACATGAAGTTGGATGTTAATTATTATCTTATATTAACTTTAAATTTCTTTATATACTTTCGTACGTATTCGTATATGGTAGGTAAGTCAATTCTACAGAACTTGGTGGTGACTAGAAGGATCGCGGGCTCGATCACATATTTTGTGAACTAATGTCACATTGTCACGATTCTTAGGCCCAGAGTTATTCTTAGAATATAGATACTGCTTAAAATGTATTCCATTTTCCTTATATTGTTTTAAAGGTACTGAGCTCGTTTTCTTTATTAGCGGCCTCGTTACCCTCCGATACACGTGACATTATTATTAGATATGTCTCGTAATCTAGGTTTTATGAGATTAGATTTTATAGCTATATGTGTGTATTTTTACATATACAGTTCGCTTGCTCTAGGCAGAGATCTGACTGTAACAAATATTAATGTAACAATAAATTAATTATAATATTTTTTCATTATATTATCATATATTTTTTTGTAAATCAATTAATTATTTATATAAAAATATAAGCCATTAAATTAATCATATGCCTCTCTACAGCAAGCGGGCTGTGAATGAAGAACGTATGCAATGTAAGATATGTTATATACAGGCACCGAGCGATATGTAAGAGTTGTTGAGTCTTGCCAGATATTTGTGGCATTTTGATGTTTGATGTATTATCGGCATAGTAATAATTATAACAGTATATAATATAAAGTCATTGTGATAATATTAGATATCATGCAAGTGGTGCAGCGTCCGAAGCCGCACACTTAGTTTTGTTTAGGTTCTAACGTATTTCTGTTGTATCAATATATGTGTATGTAGGTAAAATATTCCATTGCATATTAATATTAAACTTACATTATTTAGTCATGATTTGTTTTAAACAATTTATTTATTGGCGTAGCTGATTCAAGGATAATTCGTGTAATGGTGTGGCCTCTTATTATTAGACGCGTTATATGTAAGTATTTACTTCATATTCAATCCATGCACTTATGGAATAAACATTGTCACGTTTCATGTTAATTGTATTGGTGTTGCATTAATATTGTAATTATTATTTTCGTTGTTCTAATATAGCCATTTTAGTGGTCAACGATACGGACCCCGATGTACTCTTCAGACATACAAAAGACAATACCTAGATCTAATGTTAGTTGTATGTAAGTTCATAAATTAATAATTATTGTTCTATCTTCGAATGTTTCTTAAATATAAGTATTTGAACAAATAATAAACGCATCGGTGTTACGAGGGTGTCACGTTTGATGCATTCGATTTAGAAACAACTATCTAATCACCTACTTCTTGATAAATTTACGATCTACGCTCAGGAAGTCAAACTTCGTCCTTCTAAAATAATTGGCTTATAATAAACGTTGCGATTTGTTTATATCTTAATAAATAGTTTAAACATGGAGATTGCATATTTATTGTTAATTGATATTGGTATAGCTATAAAAATATTTATCGAGTGTTGCTTCACGGACACGGGGGGACTCGTAGCAGCTATCGAAGGTGCCCATACGACAGCTGTTCGCCAGATAATTTGAGGATAGCCTGACTATAAATAAAAAAAATATTTATATACAAACAAATCAATTATAAATAAGATGTAATAATTTAGTATCATTTTTTTTCTTCAACTAAATACTCTATATTTAAATATGAACTTGATATGTATACTATACTTCATTATTGTTCGTGATATTTATATATATATATATATATATATATATATATATATATATATATATATATATATATATATTGTAGAAGGAGTATTTAACACAAATATTAAAATGGAAGCTATCGACACTTCGGCACCTGCTATATATTATAACTGTTGGCGCGAGTCTGTTTTGGTGTGATGTAATTATTATCAGGTAAATGTATTCTTGTTCATGTTACTGTAATTTTAATACCCTATAATAACTATTGTAATTTAATAGATAAATTGACAATTTAAAAGATGTGACACATTAATTTGTATTTAAATTTATCCTGAACTTATTACTCGTTTCGCCTCCTAATAAAATGTTACAATTAAATCGAGTTTTATTTAACTCCATACAGATGAACTACAAGCAGAAAGTATGTAAGTACCTTACGAACTTCCCAAATTGTCTTTTTGATGGTGAAAAAAAAAACAAAAAACCTCTAGAAAGTATGTATATATGTATGTGGAAAACATCGAAATAAACTATACTTTAGTAAAGACTGAGATTGTTGATAACAATGGCGGCCGCCTGGCGAAATGAAAATTAAAGAAAAAATGCGTGTGTGTGTAACCTTTACGCGCGGTTGAAGTAAAACTTCTTTGGAGCTGTGGCAAAAACAAATCAAAATATAAATATAATCATTTTTGTAAAAAAAAAACTAAAGAAAAAACGATTTCCAGGCACTAAAAAGTAAAAAATTACTGAAAGGGGGTTTTGATCTACTATATATACCAAATCAAATACTTTCTAATTCAGTGCCAACCGACAATGCTTTAAGATATTATGAATATCTTATAGGTAAAACTCTAATTATAGTAAAAATATTACATATCAATTTGTGATGTATTTATACGTATCGAAATAGCTTTGCTTTGCATTATACATATAGTGCAGTATTCACTATATAATGCAGCATAGCAGCAGCTGCAAATCGTGTATTTTTTACTTTTTAGTGCTCGGAAGTTTGTTTTATTTTTTTAAGGTTTTTATTACCCGGTGGGCCGACTGCAAGGAAAGGGTTATGTCTTTCGCGCCTATCTTTGTATGTTTGTTTGTTTGTAATATTCTTCATTCCCTCGTATCTCCCAAACCACTCGACAGATTTCTTTAATTAAGGTATCGTTAGATTCGTTATAATAGATAGGTGACATAAAAAAATAAATATGGCGGCTGCTAGATTTCATTGTTTAAGGTGAAATTTTTTAAATCTTCTTTTTAAGCAATATGGGTATCAAATTAAAGGGCTCATAACAAGGATTTCAAAAAGGTATAACATACCCGTATTATTCATTTTAAATAACGGTTTAGATTATTTGATGATTTAAAGTTGTTTAACAACCATTCTCGCTAATTTTCCTATTTAAAAATACCTTAACAGTTGTAAATTTCGTTTCATCCTTGCCGCGAGATGTACATACTCGTATGTATATCTCTGACTGCATAATACTATATTCCTTCATTAACTTGTTTTTTTTTTCATTTTTAGTGTAGACGTAATAAGCAGTAATTTATAAGAACAACGTTTTTTAATAAAATATTCGATTAAGCCATTTATGATAGTATGCTGCCAAATTTTATATAAAGACTACCTATCACAAAAACTCACTTTTATTAGTAGGTAACACAAAAAATCAGGCTCTAAAATCGAATTTAAAAATGTAAGATATTGGGCTTATCAAATGAAACCATGAAATAAGCTCAAACTCAAAGCATTTACTAGTAGCCGTTTAAGAGTTTTTTTGTTTGTAAGTTTGAATGAGGAATCATTAATTTCTCAAGGGATATATTTTTTTAAATTTTAAAATACTTCTTTTCTATACCTATTATGTACATTGTACATACTTATATTTAGTCTTCTATACAAACCAATAAAACGTAGGTACCTACGTACGTAGTTAATAATATATACTTAGTCATTTTTATATGTAATAATTTTTATAAAATTATTAATAATAGATCTATATATTTTTATAAATAATAATTATTATAAAAATATAAATATATTGTTTGTTTAAATTCTTAATAATAAAAACTCTTACTTCCGCGACACTCATTTTTCCAATGTATTGACTGACTTACCCCTCAGTCGCGCCTAAAGAATTTCAATCCTCAATCACGATATAATATTATAATTAAAAAAAAGTAACGTCTGGGTTATTGCTCTCAAAGACAAATTTTATATCGAGGAGGAACGAGGTCATTGACTGTCCGATATATTATTTTGGCGCGCAGTTTCGCATGAAGTTCCGGTAACGTCAAGATCATGCTATTTAGGACGATAAGACGTATTGTTTGTCCTTTTACAAGTGCTCTTTGTGATCTAACTATAATAATGATGCCCTCCCGACTGATTTCAGCCACGGCGGACAATCTCACTGATACTAGCCAACTTCGCATGAGATATTAGTGTACATATATGCGCAAACAGATGCAATCTATTCCATTCATTCTCAAATTTAGATAGGACCGATGTGAGATACGGCGCAGAACGTACAGCTGTACCTACATGCTTTCCATGGCTCCGCTTGTTACACCAGTCATCAACAACATTCCAACCCCCGACTGCTACTGAGAATTTCTTGATAGAAAAACCCAATACCTATAGGTGCTTGGCCCTGGACTCGAACTCAAGACCTCCGGGAACAACGGGACATGATACGATACACACAATAATCTACGTGTCCGACCACGTGGTATTCTAATTAGGTACTTTAGTGAACCATTGGGATTTACCAATACTTGAACGCCTGATAAGACTGCAGTCTGCACGCTGTCAAATCGCCACCGCTCAGGGGTCGGGATATTCTATTTGTTAGTCATAACTAGATTATAGATAGTTTATTATTTGGTAATTAATTATATCAGTACTTTGGTTAATATTTCCACATATGTACTACTATTATAAATATAATACAATAACAATTACAAAATATGGACAACTTACTGAAATAAATAATTTTTGGGTAACAGAATTAAACTCCAGTGATCCTATTTTAATCTTACTAGGTACTATTACTATTTTTCTTCATAATTTCTATTTTATTCCAACTAATACTACCGAACCTTCACCATCTAAGGAAAATTATTTTTCAAATTACATTTCTAAGGATGACTAAAGAACCAGTTATTAATATAGAAAAGTTATCACTACAAAAACTTTAGTTAAAATCAGTTCAGTACTTTTTACGTCAAATGCACACAGATATACAGACACATAGACAAAATTACAATAACTATTGTTTTGGCCGTTTGGGGTCTATATTCTATACACAATACGTAAGTCATTGTTTAGAAAAATATTTCATCTACAGATTTCGCTTATATTATATGTATTTAATTTTTTTAATTAAATGTATAGTTAAAATAATATTTATCTAATTACAAAATGCGACCTACTTTTTAAGTTAAAAACCTCAATATGTTATTTTAAAGATTACTGTCTTATAATAAGTGCCCTTATCTAATATACAGAGGAAAAAAAAATTTGTTTGTTTAGAATAGACTTCCAAACTACTGAACCGATTTAGATGAAATTTGGTAAAAGATAGTTTGGGAATGACATATGATCGTTTTTATCCCGAAAATCATAATTGAAGAGGGTGAAAATGTGGGTGAAATTTGTATGGAGAAGCAACCTAGGGATCCGAACCCGAGCGAAGCGAGGGCGAGTCGCTAGTTATATATAAATTCTATTATTATATTATAATATTTTATATAGGTACTAGCAGTTGCCGCGGCTTCACCCACGTCCAAACTTCCGATCGCTAGGGACCTAACAAAACCCACAGGATCACCCGCTGGGCTAATCTGAAGATTACCTGAAAATTTCATCAAAATCGCTCCAGCTGTTTGGAGATAATAGGAAACATGCATATACACATGGATTTTTATTTTATTTAATCAACAATCTAAATTTATTTTTTATTGCTCGGAAAATGGAGTCTTTTATCAAAATTTAGCGATACACCTACTGCAGCGCTCCTAACAGATCCATTTGTGAATTCAAACCTTGCAGGGACCCACTCGTGACTCGGCCATATACAAAAAATATCACTGCCGTTTAGATGATCAGTGGCACTCCGACTGCAGCGCCACTTACCGGAGCCATTTGTGTTTTCAAACCATCCAGGAGCCCACACGTACAGAGGAATTGTATAAGTATACACCTATAAATATAATAAAATTCTAACTATGCCGAATCTGTACATGAAATATTTTTTGGAAAGTCTTATTGAAATAAACATTATTATCGATAGAGGCCGAATCTATAGTTTTTAGAATTTTTGTCTGTCTGTTACCGCATCACGGAAAAACCACTGGAGGGAATTTGACGAAATTTGGTATTGTGATAGCTGATTATCCGGGTCAACATATAGGAAAACGGGAAAATGTCTCATTTCTGAGAAAAAATACAAAAACTGCAATGTAAGAGTATACTAATATGTAAAACTAAGAATTTGATTTTTGGTCATCTGAACGCGGGCGGAGCCGCGGATTGCCCGCGCTAGTTAAGATATAAAAATTTAGATGTTAATATTAGTGTAATAATTGCTTATTTGATTGATCTTCTATATTTTTTGTCAATATTTGTCTAATCATAATTTTACCGTGCAATAACCCTCGCTCCGCTCATGTTCGTCCCTAGTTACGCTTTAACGTTTAGTATAAATTTCTCAGATGTATTTTCCCGCAGTAAAAAGTATCCTATATGTTAACCCTGATAACCAGCTATTATCATACCACATTTCATCAAAATCTGTCTAGTGGTTTTCTCGTGACGCATTCCCAAACAGACAAAAATTGTAAAAAGTGTAGATTCGGCCCTTGTATCTCTAATAATGACTATTTCAATTTTCAATTAATTTTCCTAAAAATACTCAACTTGGTTAGAATTTTATTATAATACTAGCGACTCACCCTCGCTCCGCTCGGGTTCGTCCCTGGGGTGGGGTCTGGGAGGACCACCCTTATCCTTATCACTTAGGGGTATAGAAAATAGACAGTAGCCGATTCTCAGACCTATTGAATACGCATATAAAATTTGGTAAAAATCGGTAAAGCCGTTTCGGAGGAGTACGGTAACAAACATTGTGACATGGAAATTTTATATATAAGATGTATAGTTGAAATATAATTACTTATTAATTTGAACCTTGGGCGTCTACTTTCAAAGATGTGTTATAAATAACTATATTAATATACAGATACTTATGCAAATTCAGTTTTTTCTTATAATTCTTTTTCAAGAAAAAGAGAGTTTAGTCATTGTCAAGTGTTAAAAAAGTTAAACTGTGACTGTTATAATATGAAGTTTTTTTATAATAAATCGAAGGTGAGAAAGCAAACTCTATTATTTCTAATATTTCATTTTAGTACCAGGTAAATTAGTTCTCTAATTTAAAAATTACCTTCATAGTCATATTTTATTTATTATTAATAAAAAAAAACAAATTTTATGGTATAGTAATGTAAATGTAGCACGTTAATTTAATTATGTATCTATAATTCAATAAACATTCATTTCTACAAGTACAAGTAATGAAAAAATATTATCTAATGAATGAATTTATGAAAAAAACTATTTTCACGATCAAAGCTTTATTGAACTTTAAAATTGGAATGATTACAATATTGGATTAAGGTTAAACATAGTTTAATTTTGCGAAATTGAATATTGAAATCAAAAAGCCTTTATTTTTCACTACTTTGTTAGGCTTAGAATCCACCACGAAGACGAAGAACTAAGTGCAAGGTTGATTCTTTTTGAATGTTATAATCGGATAGAGTGCGACCATCTTCCAATTGCTTGCCAGCGAAGATAAGACGCTGTTGGTCTGGGGGAATACCCTCCTTGTCTTGGATTTTAGCCTTTACATTTTCAATGGTATCAGATGGCTCTACTTCCAGGGTAATGGTTTTTCCAGTCAGAGTCTTAACAAATATCTGCATACCACCACGCAGACGTAATACCAAGTGTAGAGTAGACTCTTTCTGGATATTGTAATCAGATAAGGTACGTCCGTCTTCCAATTGCTTTCCAGCAAAGATGAGACGTTGTTGGTCTGGGGGAATACCCTCCTTGTCTTGGATTTTAGCCTTTACATTTTCGATGGTGTCAGATGGCTCCACTTCCAAAGTAATAGTTTTGCCAGTAAGAGTCTTCACAAAGATTTGCATACCTCCACGAAGACGAAGTACCAAATGAAGAGTAGATTCCTTTTGAATATTATAATCAGAGAGTGTGCGTCCATCTTCTAATTGCTTGCCGGCAAAGATAAGACGCTGTTGGTCTGGGGGAATACCCTCCTTGTCCTGAATCTTAGCCTTAACATTCTCGATGGTATCAGAAGGCTCCACTTCCAGAGTAATGGTTTTTCCAGTGAGGGTTTTAACAAATATCTGCATACCACCACGCAGACGCAATACCAAATGGAGAGTAGATTCTTTTTGGATGTTGTAGTCAGACAAGGTACGTCCGTCTTCCAACTGTTTACCAGCGAAGATGAGACGCTGTTGGTCAGGGGGAATGCCTTCTTTATCCTGGATTTTTGCCTTTACATTTTCTATTGTGTCAGATGGCTCCACTTCTAAGGTGATGGTCTTCCCAGTCAGGGTCTTGACAAATATCTGCATACCACCACGGAGACGTAGTACTAAATGGAGAGTAGATTCTTTTTGGATGTTGTAGTCAGAGAGAGTACGTCCATCTTCTAATTGCTTTCCTGCAAAGATAAGTCGTTGTTGGTCTGGGGGAATGCCCTCCTTATCCTGGATCTTAGCCTTAACATTTTCGATGGTGTCAGATGGCTCTACTTCCAAAGTAATGGTTTTGCCAGTAAGGGTCTTCACAAATATTTGCATACCACCGCGCAGACGTAATACCAGGTGAAGTGTAGATTCTTTCTGGATATTATAGTCGGAAAGGGTGCGGCCATCTTCCAATTGCTTACCGGCAAAAATAAGACGCTGTTGATCTGGGGGAATGCCCTCCTTGTCTTGGATTTTAGCCTTAACATTTTCAATGGTATCAGATGGTTCGACTTCCAATGTAATGGTTTTGCCAGTAAGGGTCTTCACAAATATTTGCATACCACCACGCAGACGTAATACCAAATGGAGTGTAGACTCTTTTTGAATGTTGTAGTCCGACAAGGTGCGACCATCTTCCAATTGCTTGCCGGCAAAGATAAGACGCTGTTGATCTGGAGGAATCCCTTCCTTGTCCTGAATTTTAGCCTTCACATTTTCAATAGTATCAGATGGTTCGACTTCTAGAGTAATCGTTTTTCCAGTGAGGGTCTTGACAAATATTTGCATACCACCTCGCAGACGTAATACTAAATGGAGAGTTGATTCTTTCTGGATATTGTAATCAGAAAGAGTGCGACCATCTTCCAATTGCTTTCCCGCAAAGATAAGACGCTGTTGATCTGGAGGAATGCCCTCCTTGTCTTGGATTTTAGCTTTTACATTTTCAATAGTGTCAGATGGCTCCACTTCCAATGTTATGGTTTTTCCAGTTAAAGTTTTAACGAATATTTGCATACCACCACGGAGACGAAGTACCAAATGAAGTGTTGATTCTTTTTGAATATTGTAATCAGATAAGGTGCGGCCATCTTCCAATTGTTTGCCAGCAAAGATAAGACGTTGTTGGTCAGGTGGAATTCCTTCTTTGTCTTGGATTTTTGCCTTTACATTTTCAATAGTGTCAGAGGCTTCAACTTCTAAAGTAATGGTCTTACCAGTAAGGGTTTTGACAAAGATTTGCATACCACCACGAAGACGCAATACCAAGTGAAGGGTAGACTCTTTTTGAATGTTATAATCGGATAAGGTACGGCCATCCTCTAATTGTTTTCCAGCAAAAATAAGCCTCTGTTGATCTGGGGGGATGCCCTCTTTGTCTTGAATCTTAGCCTTAACATTTTCAATAGTATCAGAGGCTTCAACCTCCAGAGTAATGGTTTTTCCAGTAAGGGTCTTAACAAAGATTTGCATACCACCACGTAAACGCAATACCAAGTGAAGAGTAGATTCCTTTTGTATATTGTAATCGGAAAGAGTGCGGCCGTCTTCCAACTGCTTTCCAGCAAAAATCAAACGTTGTTGATCTGGAGGAATGCCTTCTTTGTCTTGAATTTTCGCTTTAACATTTTCAATAGTATCAGATGGTTCCACTTCCAAAGTAATGGTTTTACCAGTAAGTGTCTTCACAAAAATTTGCATGTTGATGTCTAAAACAAAATAGATGAAATATAAAAACTATTTGATTTGTTGTATTATGGTTGGATAAGGTCTATAATGACAAGATTTCAAATAATCTAAAACAAAGAACAAAGAAAAATCTGGATAACAAAATGGCGTCATGCAATCTCATGACACAAATAGTGACGCAATACGCAATATCAAATTAATTGTGAAACTTACCTTTAAATTAGGAACTACGAAATATTTATTAATGTTGCTACTCTTAATCTGCCAATACTGATCAGTGACTGGTACGGGATATTACAAATTACAATATCAAACAAAGAAAACTATAAAATTAAACACGTCTCCGTTAAGTTGCTTCAAAGTATGTTCACGAATCACGAAAGATTTTCCGTACAGTCGAAACCTGTCCCTTTTATAGAAAATATTTTGTAAAGTGCTACCATTATAAAAAATAGTAATGCTACTGAGTAAGTAGTACTACTCTGACATTATACTACCAAAACTTTGAAATGGTTATTTTTGTAAAATAATTTGTAGTTGTAGAAATAAAATGTTGTTATGTATAAGGACAAAATTTTCTTTTCTTACATATAAATATAAAATTTAAATATATAACATTACTCCATATTTTTTAGAATGATTTTTTTTAAAGAAAAGTAATCAATCTTTATTTAGAGAATATATATTATTTTAATATCAGAATATAAAATTAAACGTTTATTATTATTAAAGTTATTATTTATTACGTTGAAATAGCCTATAGGTATAGGTATACGAACGCGGAGCGGTGAGCTGTAGATAGATGGGAGATCGCCGAGCCGAATATAACCTAATACTTAATCTGTGGAATAGAAAAAGAGTCTGATGCTACATTTACACGCTTGGCAAGTCTCAACAAGCATCCAAAAACACAAGCGTGTGAACGGGGCGTTTGGACTTTGGTTTGGCTTGCGTGAGCTGTCACGATCCGGGTTAGTGTTGGTCTTTGAACACAGATCAAAAGAAGCTTGCGGCAAGCGCTTGTGGCGTATTTACACGTTAGTGCGTGTTTAGTGTCACTCAGGGCGCTAAAAATTTAATTTAAAAAAAATTCTAAAAGCTATAGATTTGGTCTCTGTATCGATATTCATGTCTATTTCAATAAGATTTTCCAAAAAAGACTTAATGTACAGATTCAGCTTAGTTACAATTTTATTATATGTATAGTTAGAAATATGTAAAGCCAAACGCAATAGTCAACACAACTTCAATATCCACGTCTGCACAGCTTGCCTGTCCGGACCCTAGTATATACCAATGTACTCTGTGGTCCGGACCGAAACACACTAAATAGTAAATACTAATGCACTTGCAACCACAAAAAGCGTGTAAATGTAGAATTACATTCACCTTTTGTGTAATTGCTTTCGCATAGCTTTTGGTACAACATAACTTAAAATAATTAGTTTTATGATTACTGTGTATGATATATTTTTTAAACATTTTTTCACGTTTGTCTAGTGCGTCAATTATATATATTATATCATGAATTTGAATAGCTTGATAATAATATTTGTAATAAAAATATTTCTATAGGTATATCCAATTTTATCTTAATTTTATTTTAGGTGATGTTATCAATTAATACTAACTTTTGAGGTTACGGTAGTGTAGAACTATCAGTATCAGGAGTATTTAACTATTTACTATCTTTATTCTTTAGAAACTTAATTAAAAACATAGCAACACTTATGGAAAACTGTCAAAAGTATAGTGTTTTGTGACTTTTGTCTGATTTAATCGGACGGGCGTATTGATGTGTATAATAAAAGTAATTTCTCCTTACTACCGTATTTACTTAAGCTTTCTCGTATAAGTATATCTCGTTGAGATCAAATTAATAATTAAAAATTAAATTAATTCATAATTAACTGTTTTGGTAAATTACTTATTTAGTTGCTCTCCAAATTTTATTTAGCTTCCATCGTAAACACGTAAGGATATTTTCCAATTATTGTAATATTGATGTGATGAATAATGTATGAGTCATCTTTATCAATAGGACAACTGTAATTTTTATGGATTTTGGTGATAAGTGATAAAAATGGCTGATCTAATTCGTGCAATGGGAGCGCCGATTGGACCCCCTATAAAGGATAAGTTAGGCTCTCCTTCTACTGAATCTGAAGATGGTGGTGTTGATTTGGGGGAGTTAGCAGCTGATTTAGAGTTAGATGAAGCTGATGGTCCAAGTACTAATGGTAAGTATGATTATAATTAAACAAAGTATTTAATTTTTTTATATTACATATTAATATCTATTACATATTTAATATTATCAAATTATATAATTAAGGAAAATGATATGGGACATATTTTTTTATAATTATTACATAGGTGAACGCCAGGCAGTACTTGCTCCTCCAGAGACTGAATGGTATCACGGCCGATTGGACAGATATACTTCTGAAGAAAGGTTATGGGCAGCTGGTAAACATGGAAGCTATTTAGGTATATAAACATCTCATGTTTAAAGCTATTTTTTTGTAGTTTAAAATAAGATCAATTTTATATAACAAAAGTTTTTATTTCTGTCTTATACACATAATATCTATTTATTTCATTCTTACATTTTAATTTATTTGCTTTCACTATTTTATGTAGCATTTATTATCCATACAATAGTTCTGTTTTTCTTCAATTATTAATTATTATTAAACAATAGCTAGTGTTTCACATTGCAATCTTTTGTAGGTGGGCTTAATAAAAAGTAGGGCTATTTAAAATTGTATGAACATTTATTCTTCTATTGTTCAAGTTTCTACTTATACATATAAGTAATTACAATGTGTTTGCATTATAAATTTACTTTTCAAATTATATATGTATTGTGTAACATATAAGTACATGCATATCATTTCTTCTTGAAATCATTACAACACCACAGTAAAACAATATATTTGTGTATTTTAATAGTTAAATTAAAAGAAACTTTAATATATTTTAAAAAAATCGTTTTTTATCACATTTGTTTTAATTTCCTAGTCTAATTGTAGATATTTAGATAATAGTATAAAGCAAATGTAGACAATATATTTTAATTTAAAGCAGATGTGTATAAATGATATTATATTGATACATAACAGAATAAAATAAATCAAGTCCATAAACATGAATTGCAGTTCGAGAAAGTGACCGCAAACCAGGATCATATGTGTTGAGTTACTTAGGACGCACTGGAATAAATCACTTTAGGTATTTTTTTACTTCAAGTTTATTATATGTATTGTAGCTTAATACATGATTGCTAAATAATGATCCAGGAATACATTTATTTGAAATATAATGATGTTTTGTAGAATAACAGCTGTATGTGGTGATTACTACATTGGGGGTCGGCAGTTTGATTCCTTGACAGAATTAGTTGGTTTCTATAGCCACTGCTCTGATCTGTTGAAACGTGAGAGACTTGTAGAACCAATCCCTCCTCCTGAACCAGTCAATGATAAAAAGGTAATAAAAGTAAATGCTTAAAGTATTTTTTCTTATTGATGTAGGAAACAGCTGTATATTTAATTAATACATATTAATTATTATGTGTATGTATATTCTTAATAATTTATGTTATATCCTTTTGAATATTTAAATCAAGTTTTTATTACTTTTAAATCCAATTTTAATAACAAATCTTGCACATTTCTGGTTCTTACAATTTGTTTTAATTTAAGTATTCAGTAATGTAAAATAATATTTTTTAGCGTGTGGTAGCCATATTGCCATACACTAAGATGCCGGACACAGATGAATTGACCTTCCAAAAGGGCGATATATTCTTCGTACATAACGATATGGGCGACGGCTGGCTATGGGTCACTGCACACAGGTATCACCTTGCATTACTAATTTACCATACTATATTAACTTCCAAGAACGTTATATTGAAGTTCTGAAAACGTAAATGAAATCATTATTTTCATATTTTTATAATTTCAAATTAATAAAAAAAGAACAATTCGTTTTAACTTTACTGAGTGTATGAGGAAAACAGTTCCGACCACCACTTTTTTAAAATTATAGGAAAAAAGTCCAAATATTATCTACTATATACCTAAGTTTATGAACTCTAATTATTATTTCATATATTTACTCATACAAATTATTTCTAATTATTTACACTAATGCTATTATTATTTGTTTATAATCTGACCAACCACATTGTGTTAATATGTTTTTTTTTTTTAAATATGTCAGGACGTTAACACACAAACCATCTAGTTCCATGGTAAGCTACGAGGCTTGTGTTATGGATACCAGATAGTTGATACATTATACATATATAACTCTAAATACAAACATATTATAAATATAAACACCCATGACTGGAGTACAAACATTCGTGCTCATCACACAAATGAATACCCCCAGCGGGACTCGAACCCGCGACCGCTGGCGCAGCAAGTAGAGTCACTACAAACTGAGCCAAACGTGTCGTCAAATGATTATGATATTTTAACAGACAGTATTATCTTATTATTGTTGTGTGCATAATTAAATACTTTATTTTAATTTCCTCTATAAAAAATAACTAAGCAGGTATTATAATTCCATTTTCCTTGTAAAAAAATAGATTTAACACTTCCTACAGTTTGCGTTCATTATTGCGTGATTTTTTTAATTTCGATGGAGACCTATTATTACAACTATTTACTTAGATGTATTGATACATATATGTACATTTAATTGCCATTTTTATTGATTTCTTGTGAAATTATAAAATAATAATCGCTTTTTAAGCGATAATGCTGCCTCTTGCGCTCTACCCGGCTTACTGTACATAGTCTCTTTTTTACCCGACTGCGCGGCGCAAAGGAGGGTAATGTGTTTATCAGTCTATGTATGTATGTTTGTTTGTTCCTACATGGCATTCTAGAGACCAAACGCGTGGGCCGATTTTGATGATTCATTCATATGTCGTTAGATTCGTCTTGATAACGCGAGTGTTATAGACCATATAAAAATTAAAATGGCGATTTCTCAAAGAAGTTGTGTCTTTAAAAAAAATTCTTCCAAACCAATCGAGTGGGGTATAAAGGTTTTTAAAACGCGATCACAAAAATATATACAACTTATATTATGTTCAAAAGTAATTTGGGATAAAAAATTGCTAAATATTACTTCAAATGTCTAATTGGCAAAAACTAACATACAAACGAGTAGGTACATCTCGCGACAAGGATGTAACGTGTATGTCTCAGACTGCATAATACTATATTCCACCGTGAACTTGTTTTCATCTTTTTAGTTAGGTTTCATGCAGTCGGGTTTTTTATTTTTTGATTAGTTCTATAATAAAGAAATTTTTATTATTATAATTGATGTTCTGGCAGTTGTTTAACTCTAAAGCTTCTTCAAGTATCTTTGATGCTCCAGTGTATCGCTCTCCAGCCAATAAAATATGTCTATGCAAAAACCCATCGAGCCATTGTTACGTTTTACATAACAATGGACCGATGGATTTTTTTAAGTGTGTGTCGGGCACGCGCAATGTAGGGTTCCATAGTACCACTTTACTACCTGTTGTAAACTTATATTAACTAACAACGTTATATAAGTAATTTTCAATGGAATATCTACAAAATTTCTACTTTTTCAATTACCTACATTTTACAATTTGGTCGATTATTACTCGTAAACTTGTAAAGCTTACTTATTTGTGATAGTTTTCCTTTCAGTTTCGTTATATTGTAATATACCGAGCACTTATAGCAAGCAGCAAGGGATCCGTTTGTGAAATATTAATATTACACAAAGGCTGGCTTTCACAAACCTGCAATATTTTTGAAAGACCAACATACACTTTCTTTTTTTTTAATATAAATAGTACATATTTAGTACAGTAGGTAGTATAATCTTGTACACAAAAAAAATGTATACATTTACAATTGATAAGTTTATTTGGTATAATGTAATATGGAGCTTCATATTAGCGAAGAGGTCACGCCAGTTCAAGTAGATCTGTCAAGGTAGAGTGATTACCCTTCGCGTGTAAGAATTATACTGAAAATGTTTCTAAACTTGCATTTTTACGGCCTCTAGTGCACGCACTCTTGCATCAACTTACACTTCTTACTGTGTTGCATAATTTTACATTCAATTTTACAAATAAAACAACTCAGTTATATAAGTTACATTAATATGAAATGAGCTGAGTAATATTAGAAAAACTTTAGTTTATCTGATTTATTTTTAGGTGATTTTGAAAATATTTCTCCTTTAAAGTTCAAATTTAAGTAAAAAAATAATATTATTATATCAGTGTTGTTTACCCCTGTCCGAAATTACTTACTTAAAAGACATGTCATAAACTAGTTTGTTAGAATAAATCATATACATTTTTAAACCCCCCACAAATTTTTGAAAAATTGATTTCATTTTTGGTGTTAATTGATACTTAAAATGAACGAAGTCTAATAATTTTCACTTCAAACGAGCAATGAAACAAGTAATTATGTCCGATTACCTCGTTATTTGAAATATAACCACTTAATAGTTATTTATGTTATCCGCGTTATTTTAAATTATAAAATCTTTTGAAATTGTTATTATTTTATGCGAAAACATGATGTATGTATAATTATGCGTATATACATTATACATACATATCTAAGTATATAATAATAATAATGAAACTGTTTTATTTTGGTACTTTAAAACGATTGAACCGATTTAGATTATTTTATAATTAAAATGTTATTAATAGTTCGAATAAGCTTTGTAGGAAAAAAACGAAAAAGTTGTTTGAAAAATTGGGGCAAATTTGAAAACTGCGTTTTTCTATAGATATTTTTAAACTCAAAGATTACAAATTTTATTGTAATTGGGATAAAACGTTGGATTAGCTAGTAAATGTAATATAATCATATTATCTATAAATATGGGTAGAAACTTTAAAGTAAATAGAATCATTACACATAGTAGCAAATACTTGATGTACGTATATAATACGACAAAATGGATAAAATTCTGTTCTTTGTTTTTAAAAGGACGGGTGAACAAGGAATGATCTTCAGAGAGCTAGTCGAAGATCTTGATCCATCGATCGATCCGAACACCGTGTTCTCTTGGTTTCACCCCAATTGTACCAAGAGTGAAGCTGTCGATATGCTTGTTAAAGCAGGCCCTGGCAGCTTCTTAGTGAGGTAAGTTGGATACATATTTTTCTATGTAAGTTCATTGATATCAAGTCTTTAAAGAATATGTATGGGTGATGCAAATAACCATAGAAATATTTATACGTATCGCTTTTACCCCCATATAGCAATACGTATATATATGGCCATATAGCCATGAGCAATTTTATTAAATATTCTTTATTGCACTAGAAAAAACATAGAAAGTGACGTGGACCAAGTTGGACTTATCTCTATAAGAGATCTCTTCCAGCGAACCCATGTACGTGGGAAATAGTGTTAAGTAGTGCAACAGAAAGAGAATGTGCAGAGAAAAGAATTTCCAAAGTTATTTGGATTTCAAAAAAAAGAAAACCATATTAGACTAAATTGCGTAATTACAGAAGAAGTATCAACTATATGACTTGTGTTTTTTCTAAAGTAGTCTAATAAGGCCATACTATTGGGCTTTCTTAACTTTAAAATGGTTTTGTCAGGATCTTCTAAAAGTCCAAATAAAAATAAAACATCATAAACAAGTAATAACTTAATTTTCATATGTGTGTAAAGGATTATTATTTACTGTGATATATAAATTATAGGTAATGTTTTCTTTTCCTTAGACCTTCGGATAACTCTCCCGGTGATTACTCCTTGTTCTTCCACATCAACAATCAGATTCAAAGATTCAGAATCGAGAAGAAAGGAGTGCGATATTTAATGGGGGGAAGGACATTTGAATGTCTCGATGCAGTTATTAATCGATATAGAAAGGAGCAAATTGTTGAAGGACACACTCTGGGACAACCTGTTAGTATTAATGTTTATTTTATATTTAAAATTAAAAACATATATCAAAACATGTTGATAATAAATATTTTGTTACTGTATTTTAAAATTAATTTTAAATTTTAACTTTAATATGTATTTTAATTGTGGATTAAGTTTTCTGTTCTTATATTTTATACTTTTTAACTATATTTTTTTAAAATCCACAGTTGATTGCCGAAGGGCACCATATAGAACCGCATCAAAGTACCACAGGCGCGGCCGCTGAAAAGATATACGCGACTCTTCGCGAGTGTCGAGATCAAATCGGTCTCAAGAAAATGAAAGGAATCAAACATCAAGGGTACTTGCACAAGAAATCCGATAAAGGAGCTAAAAAGTGGAAAGCTCTGTATTTTGTTCTCTTGCAAGAAGGAACAGATACGCATTTGTATTTCTATGACTCGCCCAAACGGACAAAGCCTAAAGGTCTAATAGATCTGTCGTGCGCATATTTGTACCAGGTAAATTGTTTTATCAGTAATTTTAGTTTTTAATATCTTTTTTGTTTTAATTATAATAAATGAATAAGGTATTTTTTCTTGTACTAGGTTTGAACATGACACATTACTTTTTACCCGACATCGGCGAAGTCCAAAGGAGGGTTTATATGTTTAATTTAATTGAATTTAATCATTTATTTCAGGCATTTTTTACAAAAAGATCTTAAATATGTAAACAGAGGCCCATTAACTTATATGTATGTATATATGTTATTACTAAAGGGTTAACCGATTTTGATGATACATACATTGTTTGATTCGTCTTCATAACGTGTGTTTAATATGTGCGTGAACCTCCAATATTGTAAGTGTGTTAAATATTAATATAGTGAACATAAACGTGTTGATATATCCAGGTGCACGAGTCGCTGTGGGAGCGCGAGTTCTGCTTCCAGCTGGTGGAGCGCGCGCTGCCGTGCCTGTCCACGCACACGTTCCTGGCGGCGGCGGCGGCGCCCGAGCTGCGCGCCTGGCTTGACGCGCTGCGCCCGCTCTGCGTGCCGCAGCAGGCGAGGCACCACTGCAAGGTCACTTCCCTCTCTTTCTATCACTATGTCGAAGTCTTTCTTTCCTTGTTACTCTTCTGAAACACTTACCTCTCTTTCTATCACTATGTCGAAGTATTTCTTTCCTTGTTACTCTTCTGAAACACTTCCCTCTCTTTCTATCACTATAAGAAAGTATTTCTTTTCTTGTTACTCTTCTGAAATCTGTTAAGGTTTAATGAATAAAATTAACGTTTTAGGTTTTTTTTGAATGACTTAATATATTTTTTGAGTGTAAGTAATATATATATTTTTAAACGTTCATAACTATTTGTATTTATTTAGTAAACTCAAAATTTGTGACATATTTTTAAATTTTATATATTGTTCTTGATCTTATATATGTGAATAATTTAGCTAAGATAAAAAAAAACCTTTTATTGAATCATACTCATACGTGCTAATTCACAACACTAACCACTTATTTTCCGTACTAAATTTCTGTTATACTTGTATTTAGTAGTAATTTAAATGATTCGATTCAGATTTTATTTGTCTCGTTTTTATGTTTAGGATTAATTTTTTTTTTAAAGAAGTTTCGGTAAATATGTCAATATGATGTAAGTACAAATGATGGTTGCAGGTGGCGCGCGTGGTGTGGTTGCGCGCGCTGCGCGTGCGCTGCGTGACGGCGCACCGCCTGCCCGCGCGCCTGGCGCCGCGCCCGCACCTGCGCCTGGCGCTGGGCGCGGCGCCCGTGGCCCGCACGCGCGCGCGGCCCTCGCCCGACCCGCACTGGGACGACGAGTTTGTTTTTGAGTGAGTGAACTTGGTTTTTTTACGATTCCGTACAATTGTAATATGTCAGGATCACCATGTAATGTGGCAACAAAATGAGACAAATATTTGGCTCCAAGGTTCGTTTATTACTCTTTAATAATAGCAGGTCGTACAATATATAGGTACCGGGGAGGCTTACACACATGCATACTACAATATCGATCAAAAAAGTAGGTACTAGATACACAATCCCATGCAAAAGTTCTCTTCAAAACTGTCACTGATTATGTTAAGATAATTATTCCAGTTAAATGCGATGCTTAAAGTTGTTTTCACAAAAAAAATATATTAAAAGCGCGCTCAAATATTCAGGTGAGTGCTCATTCGATGACGACATTTTTTGTCGCTGTTTTTGTGGCTAGTATATTTTTGATCGATGGTTGCGTACCTCAAAAGGAAAAAACGAACCTTTATATGATCACTTCGTTTTTTTTTCTGTCTGGTCTGGTGTATCTGTAAAAACAATTTTTTCAGGAACGGATGAAAGTATCAAGTTGAAATTAATATTAAATACTCAGGTCTCCAATCCCTTGGAGCTGTGAAAAAAAAATCAAATTTCCACATGCTATGTCCTTGGTGTGCGAGTCATACTCGCACTTCTCCAGTTTTTTTGTTTTTTTGTTGTTAAGCACAAGTTGCCTTTATTTTTGAGTTGTTTATATACTCATTCCACATCAATTGTGACTTTGTCCCCTTATGCCAATCTTTTAATAACTGCGACACAGTTATAAACTAATGCAGATATTATCGTTAAGTTGTTTTTGTTACACATGTACCTACTGTTTTAAATGAATAAATAAATAAATTACATAAATAACTTTCCTATGTGCAAGGTTTCACCAGTCGCGATTCAATGCACTTTGTGTATCTAAATCGTGGCGTGGTTAAGTTTGGATCATAATAATATGCTATATAATAAAAATTAAATTCTGTTTGTTAGTATAAAGCACATAAATTGAGAACAGTTAGCATTTTTTTTTGAAATGTTCCTAATAGTTTGAATAAGGGTCTTAGGGTCGGGTCTCTTAGTTTATGATAAAAATGTTGCATAAAAGAATTATATTTTAATATTATTCATTACTATTTTTATTTCTTTGATGTATTATCTATAATTTTGTTAATAGTGACGTGCCACCAGATGTTACATCATTTACAATTACGGTGCATAACACCGGAAAGAGAGGAAAGGAATCTGAAGTGAGTATTAATATGGATATTTATTTTTATATGATTTTTAACATAATATAGTTTTGTATATATTATATATATATAGAATATAATATATTATATATAGAATATAATTTTGTATATAGAATACAACTTTAATTTATGAGTTTTATTTCACTTGTTCCACTCTCATACTTTTTTGTCGTTCAAAATTCTTAATTTACTTTCTAAGTATTTACCATTACATTGAGAGCTTAAAATTAGTATGTTATTTCCATAAAAATATAATAATACCGGTATCGTAGAAATCCTAATATATAGATAGAGTCTAAAAACCATAGGAACTTCTCAGCCACATATAATATATTTTTTTCTAGGTCGCAGAGCTAACTATAGAATTAGCAAACTTGGCTAACGGCGAAGAGATAGAAGAATGGTACCCCCTCGCAGGCATGACTCCTATTGGCGAGTGGGGCTCATTGAGACTACGTATAAGGTAATTATTAATATTTTTTACAATTTTTTACACCATTCCATAAGTAGGGTCAACGGAGAAAATATTGTACCACTGATACTTGAATCCACTTCTTTCTCCATGAATTTTTATGAATAACGTACTTCCTTTTTAACTAGGTACTAGGACTAGGTACGTTTTAGTTTTTTTGAGCAGAACCCTAATTCTTTTTCTAAAATAAAAGTAGCCTATTTTACTCCCTATAATATCAGCTATCTGCCAGTGCAAGTCCCGTCAAAATCAGTCCAGCCGTTTCAGAGATTATTCGGAACAAACAGACAGACAGACAAAAATTTATAAAAATGTGTTTTTCTTATAAGTACCGTATTTAATTTCATATGCATTTAGTAAAACGCTGTTATTTTGACATTACAAAGAGACACTTCAATTTTATTTATCTGTATAGATAATAATTTCCATTCACCACCCATGTCTTCTGGGACTTTAGATGTTGTTTAACACTCCAGATACATGCAAGAGCTGGTGATGCCCCGCGAGGAGTACAACCCGCTGCGCCAGCTGCTGCTGGAGCCGGGGCTGCCGGCCGTCAAGGCGCTGGCCGACTTGTGCCGCACGGACAGACAGCCGCTAGCTACGTGTAAGTATATATATTATCCATTATAAATATCTGTTCTTCTTGTATTTAGTAGTAATTTAACACCTCGCGGTTGAAAGTGATTCATTTGATTTCATCAATTTCATGGACGGTGGCGTCGGCAACGCTAGTATCCAATATATTGACAGAAACATATTTTAAGCACTCCTAAAGTGAACAGTATTGTATATGTGAACAGAATTCAACACTACAGTACATTTCTGTAAAAATATGTGTGTAATAACAACAATGTGTGTGTGGAGTATGTGGAACAATATGTATGTGTAAATATAATATTTGATGACACGTTTGGCTCAATTTTTAGTGATCCTACTTGCTGTGCCAGTGATCACGGGTTCGATTCCTGCTAGGGACATTCATTTGTGTGATGAACACGAATGCTTGTACTCTAGTCGTGGGGGTTAATATTTACAATATGTATGTAATTAAAGTTATATAATATGCGTAGTGTATCAACTATCTGGTATCCATAACACAAGCCTCGTAGCTTACCATGGAACTAGATGGCGCTGTGTGTTAATGTTCCAACATATTCATTTACATACGAGCGACTCACCCTCGCTTCGCTCGTGTTCGTCTCTAGATATGTTTTAATTTTTTGAGCGGAACCCTAATCCTTTTTCTAAAATAAAAGTAGCCTATGTTACTTCCTATAACATCAGCTATTTTCCAGTGAAAGTCCCGTCAAAATCAGTCCAGCCGTTTCAGAGATTATCCGGAACAAACAGAAGGACAAATTTTTAAAAAAGTGTTTTTTTTTATAAGTACCGTATGTAAATTCATATGCATTTAGTGAAAATTTTAACATTACAAACAAACACTTGAATTTTATTTATCCGTATAGATTTAAGTATAATCGTGTATTACAGCGGTGCTGCACGCGTTCTCGGAGTGCCAGCGCGGCGCGGAGCTGGCGCGCGAGCTGGCGGCGGCGGAGGTGGCGCGCGAGCCCGACCACCGCGCGCTCTTCCGCGCCGCCTCGCTCGCCACCGCCGTGCTCGACGAGTTCATGCACGCGCTCTGCAAGCCCTTCCTGCAGGTACGCTATATGCTCTCGTTATTTATTTATTTTTTTAATTACCCAATAAAGAAAATTACAAATATACTTAATTATACATAGAAAGCAAATGTACACTTAGTTATTACTGCATAAGTCATGTCCACGTGGAATAGTAGCAAGAATCACTAAAAAACTACTGGACAGATTTTGATGAAATTTGCTATGATGATAGCTGTTATCCGTGTCAACATATATGATACTTTTTACTGCGGGAAAATATCTTATCTCTTAGCTAAATGTTAAAACGTAACTAGGGACGAGCCGAGCCGGTAGTTATTTCTAAATAAATCTATGTATGTGTATTGAACATGATGAACAAAATATTATGTATGTATATTGTACAATAAAATTAAAGTCCCCCGCCGTGCCGAGTTTGTGTTTGTTCGGGCTAATCTCAGAAACTATTGTACAGATGTTCATATGGTTTTCATCAATAGAAAGAGGGTTTATAATTAGGCTATGTGAAGATATTTGAAATTATTATTCATTTTGAAAATATCCATAATATTATAAAAACATACATTTTTATTATATGCAATATAGAAAAGTTTTTGGCTTTTTTGTTTTTTTTTTATTCATTTGTTTTGCATTAATAAATGTGTAAATAATAAGGCTTCATCCATCCATTCTTATTTTTGTGTCACTATAAAGCCTTATTCTCAGTGTCAAACAGAAATGATAGCTTTTCTTACATAATCAATGACAATAATAAACATTCATTAACAACTTAAATTAAAATTTTAAAATCATTTTATATTTATGTTTTTTATACTCATAATGTATGAAGATATCATCACTTATAATGTACGTTAGTAATAAAAAAAACTACAGATATAAAATAACAAGGAAAGGAAAAGGAGTTAATCGAAATAAATTTTAATTGTTTTAGAAATGTTTTAAATATTTGTCGTAATACTTAGATTTTTTTGAACCGACTAAAACTATACAAATTTAATTTTTCGATATTTAAATTTATTCTAGGCAGCAATTGCGGAAACAGTGCAAAAGTTAGTTGATGCGAAACAATCAGCTGAGTTGAACCCAACGAAAATGGACTCCCCTGATGATGCCTGCAATAATGCTGAGTTCTTGCTCATGGTACTGGATCAGGTACTTGTCAGAAAAATTAAAGCTCACTACATAATATAATCTCGCCATTCAATTTCATCTTCTCTGAATCAAATTTTCAAGTACATCGTTGGTTGCCGACAATATTTGTAATTATTTTCTGTTTGTCTTACTTAATTACATCCATACCAAATTCGGCCGTATACTATATATAGACAAAGTTTAAGTAAACATGCAGACACACATATTTAAAAAAAAAGTTTATTCTTTAAGCGCCGTATTGTGTATAGGATTGTAGATAGGAACCAATGTATTATCATATTTTTGGTACTATGTATAAAGAGGTCTTCATACCCCTTTTAAGATTCGATCAGTGTTTGTACCATAACTAGGCATCTGTCACAACTTTAGCAAGCAGTCAATAAGATAGATAAGATATAAGTAAAGATAAATATACTAATAACTAATTGCTCGACGAGACGTTTAGCTCAGTTTGTTAGTGTCTTTGCTTGTATGCCAGTGATCGCGGGTTCGAGTCCAGCTGGCGGCATTCATTTGTGTGATGATAACGAATGTTTGTACTCCAGTCATAAGTGTTTATATTTATAATATGTATTAAAAAAGTTATATATATGTAGTGTATCCATATCTGGTATTTATAACACAAGCCCCGTAGCTTACCACGCAACTAGATGGTGTTGTGTGTTAATGTCCCAACATATTTATTTATCTGTATAGGTAAATAAAATTGAAGTGTCTGTTTGTAATGTCAAAATAACAGCGTTTTACTAAATGCATGTGACATTATATACGGTACTTATAAGTAATATCCAATTTTTAAAATGTTTGTCTGTCTGTCTGTCTGTCTGTTTGTTTGTTCCGGATAATCTCTGAAACGGCTGAACTGATTTTGACGGGACTTTAACTGAAAGATAGCTGATGTTATAGGGAGTGACATAGGCTACTTTTATTTTAGAATAAGAATTAGGGTTCCCCTCAATAAAATTAAAACGTACCCAGGGACAGAACCGAGCGAAGCGAGGCTCAGCCGCTAGTTTAACTAATTTAACTACTAAGTATGTAGTAATATAATTGTCATGAACAGATCACGCTGTCAATCTTCACGTCGCCGGAGGCGTGCCCGCGCCCCGTGCGCTACCTGTGCGGCTGCCTGCAGCGCGCCGCCGTCGCTAAGTGGCCCAACGAGAGATTTGTACGCACTAGAGTCGTGTCGGGTGAGTCGTGTTGTATTATGATAATAAGTTTCCTCAGTCATGCCGGTTTCCTTACGATGTTTTTCATCACAGTATTAGCAAGTAGTAATCATGTTGGAAATGATTCGTACATGAAAATATCAGAGGCACCCGACGAGAGACCCGGGTTTGAACTCGCTTCACTTAGTTGGCTAAGCGAGCGCGTTACCACTGAGCTACCTACCGCAGTGACAGAAGGCATTAACAAAAGTAATATAATTCCCCATCAGGTTTCATCTTCCTGCGCCTGATCTGCCCGGCGCTGACGGAGCCGCGCGCGTGGGGGCTGGTGTCGGCCGCGCCGCCGCCGCACGCGCAGCGCTCGCTGCTCATGGTCGCCAAGTGTCTGCAGAACCTCGCCAACCTCATCGAGTTTGGGGCCAAGGTCACTTGTTTCTCATTTATTTATTTATATATTAGGTTTATTTACAATCACTTACAATAATACAAACAAATATAAAAAAAGAACTTAAAAACTAGAACTAAATGTAGTGATTGTAAGTACAAATAAACACAGCATGCACAGAAATAAAGTTTCTTAAAATATTATGCAAAAGTGTTTATTTTTCTCAATTAATCAATGAGTAGGTATATTAATTTAACAATTATAATATTATATAAGACTATATTATTTTTATTACACTATTACGTAACAGCAGCCTCCGAACCTCGCAACTAATTACTAGTTAGAACCATCTGACCACCTCAAAAGCCCGGTGACGCTGTCAAGGCCAGTACGCCCAACAGCACTACACATTCCAAAAACAAAAAAAAAGCAGTACTTTATGTGTTACTTCAGGTCATGTATGTCTGTCTGTGTACTAAATTTCATCTAAATTCGTCGCAGGTGATTCAGCATTATAATAGTTTAATATCTAGATATTTTTCTTTACTTCTGCCCTTTTTAAGTTGTTGCCTATCTTTTTTTCTCTTGAGGTAGTATAAGTGAAAATGCCACCTTACGTTTATGTTACACATTTAAATAGCAATGATGTGACTTTTATCACATAATTTCTATTTAAATGTGTAACATGATTTTATTGATGTACATGATTTTATTTATATTTTATGCTGGTTTGTAGTAAATTGCAATTTTATTATTGGCGACTTGATATCATACCTTATATTCTTTAAAAATATGCTTTAGTCACATCAATCATAGATCAGTCAGCTATTATTATTAAAAGTAATGTTTACTTTTACCCAAATCATATAACATACCAGCGACTCACCCCCGCTTCGCTTCGGGTTCGTCCCTAGACAAAAACAAATCTATCCCACGGGAACCGTACATTTTTCCGGGATTATAGCCTATAGCCATCCTAAATAAACAGGCTATCTAATGCAAAAAAAATTCAAATCGGATTAGTAGTTCCTGAGATCAGCGTGTTCAAACAAACTCTGCTTCTTTATAATATTAGTATAATATGCATAAATATTAATTTTTAACATTTTCCAATATACAATGTTACACATAACATCAAAGAAAACCTGATTTTTTTTAAATTTTTTATTGACTTTTTACATCAGGAGCCGTACATGGAAGTGGTGAATCCTTTCATCCTAAAGAACAAGGAACGTATGGTCGTGTTCCTGGACCAGCTGAGCTCAGTGCAGGACCCGGGGAACGCGCCCTCCAACTCAAACAACAATTATGACATTGGTATGATAATTAAAAAAAAAACATTGTCTTTAGCGAGTATTTTTTAGACTAAATATATTTCATGAAATATCCAATTTTGCTATATTTTTTTTACTTTAGTAATTGATTACAGTTATGATGTATGTGACATCAATTAATATAATAGTAAAGACTTTTTTCTGAGCATTTACAAAGGACTTCAAGTAAAATGAGAATGTAGAATGAAATTCAATTATTTGAATTTATTATTATTTCTGTATTCCCATACGGTAATAACATTTGGAAACTAAACCATCTGTGCAATACACTTTTAAACTGACATTTATCATCATCATACAATTGCCATTTTAAATATATGTATGTATTATACATGCTGACAAATGCTTTTTATTAATATATTATTATCCCACCTGATAGATCGGAATAAAATAGCTTTAATGTATTAAAAAGAACAAACATTCAGTTGGTTTTCATCATTAATGATATTACTGAAGATTTCATTGTAAATTAATTTTGCAGCAAAAGAACTAGCGACGATCCATCACATCTGCGTGTCTCACCTCACCGAGCTGCAGAACTTGGCCAAAACACAACCGGCTATAAGGAAGTTGGTCACGGTCACGGAAATGCTCACAAAGCACAAGCATAAGTATCTTGAGATGATCAGATAGGATACGTCTTCAAACACAGGTGCGTTCATTCTTTAAATGGTGTTAGTGTAAAGTTTTCTAATATTATACATATTGTTGGTCAATTTAAAGACAATTTTAGAATGTTTGAATTGACTACCTAAGACTTATTATATTTCGAATTTCGAACTATCGACTCACACTCGCTTTGCTCGGGTTCGTCCTTAGGTTGCTTCTCTATACAAACTTTCATCCACATTTCACCCCCTTAAGGGATGATTTCCGGGACAAAAACAATCCTATGTCCTTTCCAGGCTCTCAACCTATCTTACCAAATTTCATCTAAATCGGTTCAGTAGTTTCGGAACCTATACGGTACAAACAAACAAACAAATCTATCCTTTTTATAATATTATAATATAGATAGAGGCAACTTATATAACCTAGCCTATTTGTATATGATTTAACTATGAAACAATGTCCCAAATAATGTAAATCACATTTTTAAATAGTATATTATTCTTAAATTGTTTCAGGGTAAAACAACCGGGACAGAAGTAGCAGTAGTCAGTAGTTCGCGCAGGACTGAGTCGTAGCCGTATTCGTGTAGTCATTTAGCTTTAGCATTACATTACTTAGTTTCAACGAATACATGTCCGAGCTTTCTCGTGCCAAATACGTATTCGTTCACTATTTACTTATGTCCTTTGTGTATGTACTACGTTTATGTAAGCATTTATTTAACTGCCTATTTAGAATATTGCTAGTTACGGGTGGTTATGAATGATCGTGCTGTCATGACAAAATTTAGTTATATTTTAATGTTTATATTTATATATTCAATTGACCTCTATTCGGTCTAACCTTATGTGTAAGGCGCATAAGGTGAAATAGGATATTCATTAATCGACGACAAAAAACGCATCTAGCCATCTAATCTATTTTTTATAAATAGTATAACTTTCAAAGAATTAAACGCACAAACAGACCAAACCAGTAATTTTACTTTATATTAATAGTTTGAACCTCTTGTAGAGCACTAGCGACTTACGCTCGCTTCGCTCGGGTTCGTCTCTGGGTACGTTTTACTGTTAGTATGGAATAGGTAGACAATATTATATATACATACATAGATATTGATGATTTGTTGTGGATTTTATTATAACATGTTTTCCCGTGGGAATGAGATATTCACTCGCGATAAAAAGCCTATGTCACTCTCCAGCTCTCCAACTGTTCCACCACACAAAAAATCACGCCAATTCGTCACTCTGTTTCGATGTGAAATAAGGACGTGAAACAATTTATATGATAACATCGTAATTAAACTTTAACATGTAACTAAATAATTATATGACTCATGAATCATTCATAATGTGCTCATATATGTTTAGGTGCGACCGAAAAATGGCTCTCTAGTATTGTAAGTCGTATTTATTGCTGATTTATTTTTAGCTTGAATTATAATTGAAAATAAAGTGGACAATGAGCATGTGAAAACTATGGATATAATAAACATAGTGTAATACCTACTTTTTAAAGTTGGCTAAATAAAAGATTATTATTGGAAATTAAAAAAAAGAAAACATTTCGCTTATAGAAGCATTTATCCTCTGTATATTATGTCCATAGATTAAACGATTCGCAAGCAATTTAGTTACTTAGAATCCTCATATATATTGCACATGTAAATGGAGTTTGTGGGAGCACTGACTGATAAAATACATAAGGCTCTTATATCCTTGTAATCTACGAGAGCAAAAATATAAAAAAAAATATTATAAAATAACAAGAATAGAAATTACAAAATATAAAGATTAATGGTAATTTTGCTAACATTTTGTATGTGGTCCCTTTTTATACCGATTACCTCGCTTGGGAATATGTGAGTAGTGTTGCCATTTGATATTGAAATTTCCACTTTTGATAGTAAATATACTACACAAACTTGATTGAACCAAATATAAAATTGATTGTGATATAACATTTTTATAGAGTGTGTATTGAACATCTGGCAACACTCTTATGAATAATCGTATGACGTGTCATTAAAGTTTTCATTACAATGATACATCACATGAGAATTGCAATGGTATTTTATATATTAACTATTCATGCTATTAATTGTTACTTTAAGTCTAGATTTAGGTTACTGTAAGATTCGACCGTCAATCGCAAGACACCAAAAATGTTTTAGAATGAAGAATTCAATGTGATAGACCAAGGGTCTGAGTAGTGAGTAGAAAATGTACGCGATCCTCTTTTATTGGACTAGAACTCCCTTACAATTTATTCTCTGTGATATAAAATCTTCTCGTTTTTATTTTATTCTGCAACTTAAATTACACAACGCATTCTGGCAGAGCATTTATTATTAGCAAGTATTATTGTTTTTTGTCACAAATATATTTAATTTTTTACAACGTATATTTTACAGGTTATTTTCATTTTTCTTGCTCAAGTAAGGAATTAGTTATATGGTGCCATATTTAATATACTTATAAGTGGCTATTTGTAATGGCTTTACACATATTCAACGACTTGAGCTTTTTGTACTGTTATTTATAGAAGACAAATAAATAGTTATTTAACATTTTTATTTAAATGATGCAAGACCTTATTATTAAGTTTAATTCATATGCGAATTTTAGGACATATTTTTTAAACCAAATTTCTTTCTTTATTTATCATTTCTTTCTTTCGTAGTAAGTCTAATGGAATAAAGTTTATTTCATTTCAAAACTATCTGCTTTAGAATCGTTATTTACCAAAAATGTCTTCATTAATAATTGGAATTAAAACTTCGCATCTTTTAAGGTTCAATTATATGTCATTGATGATATTTTGCTCTAATTTATACTTTTAAGTAAAAGTACTTAATTATAAAAGAATTTTGATCCAAAACTGCATTACTAAATCATTTTTTTTTTAATTTCTTATTTATAAGTAATATATTTTATTCTTTTTTATAATCTTATAACATTATAATACCTGTGTAACATTTTTTTTGTTTAAATAACATTTTTACTAGACGGTAAGATGACATTAAGTTTTTATTAATAAATATTATTATTATATAAATTTTTCTAATTATAATCTAGTATATTAAATTTCTTAAATATTTGTTTTGTTTTAATATTTATAAAATGCTATTATTATTTAACATATGCTTATGAAAATGTTTCCGTTTTGAAATATACTATGCAATTTATATAATGTTATTTAAGAGCCTTTACGCCTAGGACAACCCGCTAAATAAGTACACCGCCAAATTTTACTTCGTGTGCTTCTTTCACTATAGTCAAACTAAACCAATTTTGAACTGTTAGCGAGTCAAAATACAATACTAATGGTTTATGATAAAAAAATATGTATAAAAGTGAATAAAATTGGTAGTTACAGGATTACTGATACTCAATCACTTTTAAATTTCTACTTTTCCGGTTTTGTATGGGACCCTTGACAAAAAGAATTACGAAAAACTAATGTGTCGTGCGACTTTGACACCGGCCTGGACTTTTGGGGTGTGTAATTTCTGTTATCAGACACTTTTTATAGTAATGATTTGATCTAGTTTTAAGTATTAAGATTAATTGGTCGTACTATAGAATCGTAGTATAGTGTTCTATACATGCGTACAGCATTATTCAAGCGAAACGGGATAAGCCAGAAGGCTCTAGAGCGGTTGAATCAAAATTGACTCGCTTGATTCACGCGCATTATAAATATTAAAATATATATTTTAGTTTGACATGTAGAGTTATTCTGTTACATTAAATTATTATTTTTTAAATTAAGTTTAATTAGTCAAAATGCTCATTTCATAAACTAATAATATCTTGATCATAAAATCATTTGGATTTTATTTGTAATTAATGTATGTATACTTAATACAAATGTTTTTTATACTATTACATCGACGATTTTAAGAATAATTTTTAATTTTTAGTTTATTAGATAATTTTGGATATTTGAAGCCTCGAAATCAATGTTAAAATTAAAATCTATTGAAATATTTTAAACAAATAATTAATACTTTTTATACTATTTATAATTTAGGTAAGGAAATTTCCTAAAATAGTAGTAACTAGCGATTCGCCCTCGCTTCGCTCGGGTTCATCCCCGGGTACGTTTTAACGGTGAGTATGGAATAAGTAGACTATATATTATATTATCTAATGCAAAAAGAATTTTTCTAATCGGATTAGTAGTTCCTGAGATTAGCACGTTGAAACAAACAAACTCTACCTGTTTATAATATCAGTATAGATTGGTACGTAGTAAGCATGGGCGGCGGCAGAATTATTTCCAGGGGAGTGCATCTGCTTCTTCACATTAAACTGCTTACAAATCTTTAAATAATTAACTTGAAATTTTTATTCATATCTTATTTATCATCTTTTTTCTGCAGATATCTATCTTAATTTAAACAGGGATTTTACTTATACAATTTTATTTCTTTAACTTTTTCTATATATTTTCCTTCATGGCAGGGGGATGCTAGTGTGCCCTCTTGCAGCCTCCTTTCAGCGCCCATGGTAAGTTGAGTTTAAATTAAACAGCGCGCAATGGCGTAAATGCTCTTAAAAAGTTAAGTAGTACATACTTGGCGCTTTATGTAAAACTCCAACAGCTGAAACATTTATCTTGTTATTTTTTAGTTTCATTACACTATAAGAATATTGACTATTCATGTTAAGTTCTCATATCATGGTAAATGAGACTTCTACAAAAGTTTATAACAAAAATTTATATTCAGCTTGAATAATTTATTTTATAACTTCATGTACAGTGGGGGCAGTAATGGCTCAAACAGAAGGTTTAACAATCTATAATTCTTCTTGAAAATCATTATGAATAGTTATGAACATTAAAATTGTATGTTTGTTTAGATTTTTAATATTCTTTTACATCTTATTTAAAAAGACATTTTAACATTTATTTTCAATATTTTTCTAACATTAACAGTGGATAAGGATTTTGTGACAATGCATCGAAGTTATTTATTTAGCAATAGCTTGTAGTAGTAGATGTGTCTTTGTATTTCACTATGTTAGCAATTGAATAGATGGTCTAGACTGATTAATCCTCTAATGATGTTTAGGTTTGTCAGAGTATACATTTTATTATGCACTAGGTTTTCCAAACGGCTGCAACATTGAGAATATCTCAATATATACTAACGGTTTTGTACTGAAAATTTACTATAAAATTTTATTATTTTTTGCTTTTAGTGCTGTTTTATTTTTGACTAGAATATGGGTAATATATCTTATATTTGTTTTGTATTATAAAAGTGTGTGAATTAATATGTGAAATAGTGCTCTTTTTAAGTAACAATTTTATATATGCTCATTTATTTGTTTTTATACCTAATTTGTATGGATATTCAAATAATGTTGGATTTTGTAATTGTTTTACAACCTCTATGTATTCTTATCCTAGAAGTACTCTTTTTCAATTAAATTTTATCTGTGCTAGAAATCATGATTCATATAAATAATATAGAAAAATAAGAAAATCTTTTATTTAACTTTCTTTCATATTCATGTAGAGTTATGGAATAAATGAAATACAGAATACATCTTAATAATATATTCAAATATAGATACATTTATGTTAGAAAAAGTATTGTAAAAGCCATAAATATACAGCAAGTTGCAACATATGGTGATTTACGTTCACCTATTCTTGCACATTTCCAAAATGTACCCAAGAGTCTGAAATAAAAAAATATATATTGAAATTTTTTCGACATAATTTCAAAGATATTTTTCAAAGAATATTTAATTACTCACCCTGTCTTATTGCGATCCATTAAACTAGGGAAGAATGATCTTAAATATGCACAGGTACATATTAAGAGTAGTATGACAGATAAAAGGCTTTGGAAATTAAATATCGCGCTCTGAAAATAAACAAATAAACTTAATTAAAAATAGAATGTTTAGCAAACATTCCGACAGTAATTTTAGTTAATACGAACCATAATTACTATCTATGAATATTTTTCCAGCTGAAATAATGTTATTTCTTATCAATACATTTATATTTGTAAGGACGAACACGTTAAATAATTTTAAAAACAATCTTTAAATTAATTTGACCGACGTAGAATGACAAATGACAATTGGCAGTAAGTGTCCACTGTCCATTGACGTCGTCTGACGATCTATTATTTTGACAGCAGACAGTTTGACACAACACAAAAAAATAATATTGTAAGAACGTACAGTGTAAAAACGTGTAATTATGGATATGTTAAACAAAAATTAATGAAATAATTTAAAATATACATAGGGCAATTTAAATAAGTTTTTTTACACTGAGTAAGACTTGTTCATATTTTTGTTTAATCATTGTTTTTTATGGTCAAATGGTGTATTTTCTGTGTTGTGCTATTATTTTCATTTATAAATAAGATGTCTATTAGGGCCTATGCACATGACAACTTTTTAACATCCAACATACGTAGTGGATACTAGTTACATTCTCTTTGCATCCAACCCGTAGCAATCGAGTTGTCAGGTGTTAGCTCGCGTTTGTCACGAACGTCAGGAGTCTGTGTTTTTTTTTTATTTATCAACGGTTTTATGAAACGTGTTCAGCATACGCCCTAATAAGTTTATCAGAGCAGATTACGCGCTGGTGACATACGTTCATGAAACGTGGTCGCGTCCTTGTCGCGAGAAACGGTGGAACTCGTGCATTTCCAACATTGCGCCATAGCTTATCTGCAATAGAAGCACTATATTACGGTATATCAATAATTTATTATTTTACTTCAAAATAAGGTTAAACTTTCTATAAAACTCTTGATCTCCATAACACAGAAGATTGTTTTTCTCCTGAACCGTGCATTCTGAAGGTAGAAATTTTTTCGGTAGTCTGTGCCCTATACTAGGTACTATAATCTGTAATGTTTAGGGATGTCCATCATAAAAAAAAATTTTTTCGACATAATATATTGTATTGTTGTATCGATACTTTGCGATATATCGTATAAGTATGTCGATATTTTCGATATATTGTAATTCGTAAGTTGTTTGTTTGTATTTAACTAGCCTATAATACTAAATATTAGATAGCTGTCAGATTAATTTGAGTTAAAACAGTTAGTGAAGAAACAAAACATTTTATTTATTAATCCCAGTACTTTTTCTCTAGACCTTGTAAAAACAATTTTTTTAACTCTTTTGGCTTGCAGTCTGTTTCTCTGCCCAGTTAAAATAGCCGTTTTTATGTATCGTTATACACACTAACTGAATGTAAATTTCGTAAACCGTATTAAACAAAACAGACAATTTTTATTTATACTTTATACGTTATTTTGTAATTTGTACTGAGAAGTGAGAACGATGAACGAAGCATAAGTCGGAACTCGGATTTCGGAAGCGAGTGAGACTCTTGAGGCACAGACACACTACGAGTTACGACTACAGTGTCAGATTATAAAATTTTGACTACTACTAGTGTGCCCTCTAGCTAGTTTTTCAATAATTCAGGGTTTTACGTTTTATTTTTACTCAAGTTGCCATCCATAAATAAAGGGATCAATATAAAAAAAAAAGAAATGGAATGTACTTTTAATTTCTCACGATATTTGATATATGGGATGAAATATATCGATATGTAATATCGATACTAGATGATTCGATAATATTTTATTGAAGCGATATATCGCGTACATATATCGATATTTTATGAAACATCGATATATATCGTGCACTCCTATTTCCTTATCTCTAAAAAGGGTTACACCGTTACATACTCTATGCTTATCTTTATGAAAATTGAAAATCAGCAATTGTTTATGATTACCTACAATCTACATCGTATTCTTAAAAAAATAATAAACATCTGATTAGTGATTACTGAAGCAAATACGAAAATGGGTTAGGGTGAAAGTCATAAAACTTTCTAATAAGATTTGAAAGATTTGTAGTTTTTTAAATTAATATTCTCACAGTCCATACGAATAAACCATGGAAGAAGATAAATTTGCTTTAGTGGAAAAAATCATAAAGGACGTACACAATGTTTTGTCCAAAATAGCTGAGTTGTAAGTATTGTAAACTTTGGCAAACATTCAATTATTTAATTTTAATTTGATGTGGTTTTGTTTAGTACATAAATGCGCAATTTTTCAGATATGCCTTCGATGTCGTTCCTATGGATATTAATTTTCAAAACAAGTCTCCTGTATTACATTTAGAAAATTGTTTGGGTCTAGAATCATGGTGTGTAAAGCATGTGTATATGTATTGTTATTCAGAGCTCATGGATAAATATTGTATTATGACTAAACGAAAGTTAAAAAAGATCTCGAGTATAGATTGTGATCGCCTAATAAGATTAATGAATATTACTTTATTGCTTAACCCTGAGATCAATTCTTTATGGAATAAGAGACGTGATATGGTACTAGATCTTATCTTAGATAAGTCTGTCGAGTTACATTTTACAAGACTTATTTTATCAAGAAAACCTAAATGTAATGAAGTATTTGCATACAGAAGATGGATCTTAGAAAATATATTTCAAGGTATGGTATATAGATTTATAATGATATATGAATTATTTTACATGTAGATATATTAACAACTTTTACAGCACAGAAGCCCCATAAATGATATTGCCTAATACTATACATGCATTCTATTGTTTGTAACTTGTATTGTATATTTCTATTAGCTGCATATTGTGTACATTCTAGATTTTAGGCTTAGATATTTATAACCTTAAACATAGTTACATCACAATTAATGAAGATATATTTTTTATTTTCATACAATGCAATAAATCTTCCTTCCCTTATATTTCAGATGAAAATGTACAAATCAACAATATTGAAAGTCTTATTAATGATGAGTTCATCATTTGTGACTTGGCATCAGATAAAAGTCCTAATAATTATCATAGTTGGAATCATCGGATGTGGGTGTTAAATATGATGAATGTAAGAAGAGCAGAAATAGACTTAAATGCTTTATACATAAAAGAATATCATTTTTCAGAAAAATGGACTTCTAAGCACGTTTCAGATTATAGCTGTTTTCATTACCATCAATTTTGTATAAAAAATATTTATAATCTATCTAATAATTCATGGACAACTTTAGAAAACACACTAAATATTAATCTTAGGAAAATTTTTGTCAACATTTTGGCTTCAAATCTTCCTAAGGATATGACAATTCAAGCATCAGAAGAAAATTTGATCTCTTACACGTCTGAAAATCTAATGAACTTTTTACTTGCATATTCAAATAAAACCTGTAATTGTTCTGTTGATTACGTTCAATTATGTATGAAATTACAAATATTATTCCATGCACTTGTATCTAACAATGAGCTGATACAATTCTATAAATACCATGAGACATTGTGGTACCACCGAAGGTTTGTTTTACATGAAATTATTGCTATCATGTATGATCATTTTGGTCTTGTGAGACATAATGGTGCGCTAATAAAGAAAAGTTGTAAAAATTGCAATTACGATGAATTAAGACAAAAGCAAGCTAAAATTGGTAGATATGATAGTAATCGTATTTACTCCAGTGTACTGTTCAATATTATTGTATCACATGAAAAGAAATTCATTGAAGAAAGAAGGAAAGATGGCGATAATTATGCAGACCGACATGAAAAATATTTAAAATTTGTCGAAGGCCTCAATAATGTTATGTAAAATGCGTTTGTCTACTGTTATATTTCAGACAAGTAAAAGGAATTCTTTTCAAATGATTTCAAGAGATATTATTAACTGATTATATGTTTTGATTTATTTTATAAAAAAATTATATATGTATAACATTGATTGTGGTCTGTATTTATGTTGTAGATAATAAAAATGAAATGCTAAACCTTTAATGATTTGGTTACTTTAAATTAAATTAATATTTAAATACAAAAAATTTATAAATGTAGTGTGATTATTGTAATAGAATAAAACAACTGCAAAAATTGTATTAAAAAGTTTCATACATTAAATCAATATACCATTTTTCCAATTTTCTATGAATAAATTTGAGTGTAATCTGTGTGTTTGTAAATATTTATACGCCAAATGTTTTAAGTTGTTATGAATTAGATTGTAGATTTATATTTTAAGTTTAAGTATATTGAAAAGACAGGTTGAGAATTATATTGGAGCTTGTATCATTTGGCCCCATGGAATAAAATCGTAAAGTGCTTTTAGAAAAGTTTTAATGAAGTTTTCATTTTCAATATAATTTATAGAAATATATAAGTAATACCACCTACTGATTTTTTTGAAAGAAAGTATGTAATATAAAATATATATATATATATATATATATATATCCAGTGAGGTCATCTCGCATCGAATGAACGGTGTCAGTGCATAACATAACTCGCCGCCTAGCTCGGCGCGTTCCTGGGTGAGTCCTCTTGGACTCGTTATGGAGTTGAGCAGGGAAGAGTCATGTGCTGTACGGGCGGTCAGCCCAGCAGGGTGAGGCAAAGTTTTAAGGCAGCGTTTTCGTTGAAACCTCCCAGACGGCTTATTTTTTTCTGTCTCCTCCAACAAATATCGTTATATTTTAGCCAATGTATACAAAACCTTAACAAATCATATACTAAAACCTTCCTCTTGAATCACTATGTATTAAAAAAACCGCATCAAAATCCGTTGCGTAGTTTTAAAGATCTAAGCATACATAGGGACAGACAGCGGGAAGCAACTTTGTTTTATACTATGTAGTGATATACTCACTATGTCCTTATACTCTTTCATTTATAAGACTGAATTTAGAAATGAACGTCGATTAAAGAGAATGCGTTTATTAGAATTCTGCTAGAAATTGTGATTGTTTGGTTTTTAATTAATGGCGTTATAATATACTTTATTTTAATAATTTTATTGTTTGTAAATATTGTTTCAAGGGATGTATTCTATTATTTGAAATAAAAGACAATTACCATACATTTTATTATTTTATTTTTTATTAGGTATAACATTTGAATACCTTTTGACTAATTGTAAGATATGATAGAGTCGGGCTCTTGTAGAACCATATATTGAAACGTTGATTGCGAGGGAGAAATTAACAGGAGTGTTGTACCTTTGTACGATGTAGAGCAAGCAAATGTGTGGATTATAAGAGTTGCGATAGTAGAAGCATGCCAACGAGAAAATATTTTCCTCGTTGTAAATACAGTATAAATACAGTTTCTGTTAAGAAATATATTGGTTTCAAATTGTATGTATATAGGATCGTCGATTATGCAAGTTTTGCAGCGTTGAATAGATTTAATTAGAATGAACAGATTTGCTTTTAATCTACCGGGATATATAATGCCTGTTATTTTATCGAAGCAATTTAATCCAGATATATTTAAAAAGAAACATTTAAAATATTGTCGTTGATATTTCGATAATATACCTAATCGATTTTTATAGAAATATAGATAACCTATATATATTTATTAGTTACATATTGAAATATACTTAAAATAGCTTTTAAAGAATTACTTATTAGTATTATTTTGAATACACTAGTGAAGTTTTATATGAACGTACCTCTATCCAATCTATCCTTTAGATAAAGGTCCATCGCTTCTAATAGGAACCATTCCCCATTTAATTTTTATGCTATTTTAACTTCTTTCGTCCTATATAAATGTCACGATCCCTTTACGATTGGCTGGCCCCCAATACAAGAATATGAGTTTTAATCCCGAGGGTACTTTAAACAACCTTATTTTAGGAGAACCTCTGTCATGAAGGTTTTATTAAAAAAAAAGCAAAAAATCTTGATAAAAAATTTCGATTGAAAAATTAAAATAAAGAAAAAACAGTGTTGCTACTTGTAGGCATGCAGTATGTCTCCGACTGCATAATACCTACTATTTACCCGACTGTACAATGCAAAGGCGGGTAATGTGTATGATATGTGTGACTGCATATTACTCGTAAGTCACAGACATACATATGTACATCTGGCGGCAAGGATGAACCGTTTGTCTCCGACTGCATAATACTATATTCCACCGTGAACTTGTTTTCATCTTTTTAGTTAGCTTCTACGCAGTCGGTTTTTTTTAATTTTTATAATCAAATTTCTTATTTACAGTTAGTTTTTTAGTTTTGACCAAGCACCTTTGGAGTTTTATTTAACAATTTGTTACCTTAAATTTTTATTAAATATTACATATATTTTGATGCTCCACTCTATAGGCTTGAAAGATTTTTTTTTAAACAAATTGGCGCCTGAATTTCTTCATTTGAAATTTTAATAATATCCATAAAGATATAAAAATATTGACTGTTGCTTCTCAGTACGTGTACGAAAATGTTATGTATGTATGTTCGTAAAAATATACACGAAATTCCCAAGAATTATAACATGCATAACATTATTATTAGGAGCAAACACCAACTTGTAATGCCTGTGACTTGTTTACACAGAGTCAGTAATTGTTTTTATGGACAATGCGCTTGTACAACGGATCCCAGAAAATATTCAAAAAGCTTCTATTGCCAAATTAAAAAAAAAACTGTTAAAGAACGTTTGTGTACTTAAGGCTATTATACAATAAATGACTATATAGAAGACAAACGACTCAACCTCGCTTTGCTCGGGTTCGTCCCTAGCTTGATTCTCCATACAAACTTCCATCCCCATTTTCACCCCCTTAAGGGATGATTTCACTTTGAAACAAAAAAACAAAATCAAAATCAGTTTATTCGTTCTGGAGCTACGATGCAACACACAGACACGTCCAACTTATAACTCCTAGTTGTTTTTACGTCGAGGGTTAAAAAGAGATAACGAAATAATATTATTCTTGTTGAGTTTCTTTCGCTAGTTTTTCTCAGGTCTGAGGCTTCTTCTTTCCAAACTGGTAGTAGACTCATGACGGTCAGTAAAAAATTGTAATTATTTAATGCTAAATAAAATATTTTGAATTTGAAATTTGGATCAATAAGACGAATCTAACGACGTATGAAGTATGAAGACGTTCAGTAATTACGAGGGAACATAAAATCGGACATATATACAGATCAAACACATAACTTCTTTGGGCATTGCCGCAGTCGGGTAAAAGTTGCAATTACGCTTGTTTCAGAACACTTATTTTATTTGAAACAAACTTGCACAATATTGATTATTTTTATTGTAATTTGTAGGAACGCGGGCAATCACTTCACCACGTAGCTCATGAGTATGACATAAGACGTTATTGCAGGTTGTGAATAAGACTATGTAGAGCAATATTATCACCTACAACACATATAGTTTAAGCGTTTTTACGAGGAAGTAGGAACAGATACATTATTGTTGACACATTTTAGTCTAAAAAGGTTTTATAGTATGTCTATGTAAAGTTTATTTTACTAGGAATAAATGATTTTTTTGTACAATCTTTATATATATAATTCTTCTGTGAGTGTGTATGTCACTGAACTTCTCTCAAACGACTGGACCGATTTTGATGAAATTTTTTGTGTGTGTTCAAGGGGATCTGGGAATGGTTTAGATTCACAATTTGAATAATAATTTTCATCAAAAAATTATTAAAAAAAGTTTGAAATTTTCAAATTAAAGACGTGTAGACAGGACAACGTCTGTCGGGTCCGCTAGTATTTATGTATATTTGATTAGATTTTATATTCAACTAGCGAGGTCCCCTACAGTCAATCCTACATAACCATCTGTATAGTAGATATACAAGTGGTATGCATTTCCCAACATTAAAAAATCAGTTTGAAATGTCAAATTGATTAAAATACTTATTGTGAGCGTACAGGAGGAAATGCTACCGCGAACTTTTCTGTAGGCATTTTTAAGGCCTTAATTTTCTAGTACATTGTTTTAATGTATCTCTAATGATTTAGCCAGTGTTAGTAGCCATGTATACAAACGAAAATATATTTTTTTCACAAAACACCGCTATTTATTGTGATTCCATGTAGTAAAAGGTACGCTAATTGTTGAAACGAGTAATAAGTTTTCACTACGCAAAACTTTTAGTTAAAATCTGTTCAGTAAGTACATTTGGATGAAATGCACACAGTACAGACAAACAGACAAAAAATTCACCATTTGTTTGACGTCTACATTCTATAGTAACAGACACAGTTTTAAAAAAATATTTTATGTACAGATTTCACTTTGTTACTATTTTATTGAATGTATATGTACATAGATGATATGTATATATATAAAATTGTTTATAATGGTGATTTTAGCGTACTTCCTAAGAGTCCTCTTGATACCCTACTTATTGAATGGACAAAAGTTATAATAAGACAATTTGGTTTGTTTCAAATTCAAATTTTATGTAGTTGAGATTTCATTATAGACTCATAGTCATTAAAATTTACTCCCAATCTGTCTTTTACACAAATAATATATTTGGCAACTAATTACAGTAAAAGCTACAGCTAGAGTCGTTTCATATAAAATGCAAACGCAATACGCAAGTCTATGGCAGAGTACCTACGCTTAATATGGGTCAGGAGGCTCGCACATTGGGAGTATCGTTGGTAGAATCTACCAACTGTCAACAACTGATCAACTTTAAAAACCTATTGTGCAAATTTGAGCTTTTACTTCTTCATACTGAGTCGTTATTACAATGCGTGCCAAGTGTACATAGCACACAGGCATCGTGCCGCTTGTGACGTCACGGCTGTGTCGCGCGCCCGCGGATTTTCGATCGATATTAGTATTTGTGTTCGAGCGATTCCGTGTAAAGTCGGAAGGGCCGAGTGACGCTTCCACCACGTGCGAATTACGTAACGATGTTGGTAGGTTGGCTACAACAACTCATTGAGAAAGATTATTTTTGTACTTACTGGTGACGGGGTTGCGTTTGAATTTTTTTGTTTTTATTAAAAAAAAACAGTGTAGGAGTTCGACAACACCTGTATAATGAGAGGATGTCTCAAGTAGCCGCAATTTTAATCAGGCTTACTAAGTTAGATACCTGATTATGCAGGAAAGTAGAAGGGTTACCAGAGTGTCCACGAAAAGAGCGTTTACAAGCAGCTAGTACTAGCGCCAGTTGTTTTAAAAGTATACAAGTACTTTAGTATAACAAGTAATAGTTATAATTACTACTCGTTTTATAAAAAATCTTATGTATTGCCATCTAAAAGTTTGCGTCGAGACGTTTCTAGTTAAAAGCACTCGTATAAATTGTAAGATAAACTCTTCCTGAATTTAAAGTAAAGAAGCACTGCAGAATAATGGCACATACCACGGACTGCGAATATCTCACAGCCAGTAGTGCTGCAGGTGTTATATTAAGGTTGTGCCAAGAATTAGAAATACGATTTTATTTCTTCTATTGGAATTGTAGATAAGTATTTTTAAATATGTTTAGAAATAATGTAAAATATATAACTATATTAAACATAATTAAGTGTAATATATATAAATATAAAAGTAAATAAAGCTATATTAGGTACTAACTTTTGCATTGTTTATGTCTACAGTCTAGACATAGCCCAAAATTTCAGTCCACGTGGATTACACAACACATGTTAGTATAAAATATATGAAGAAACACTATTAGTACATGATAGACGAGTTACTAGCTCATGATGATCGAACTTTAATGGAAAATTGCGAGTCGTAAGTCTACGTGCTAGGTGCTACGAAAAACGTGCGAGGAATTTTTCATTACAACTTGGTAATACTATTTTATCGTTCTCATCAAAATGCGGCTTTTACTATTTAAATCTACTAAACAACTGTTTTACAAAGTGTTCCAAAAAATACTGAAAATGCTTATTTATTATATGAAGTAATGAATGACAAAAAATAAAATTAACAAAGCAATCAAATATTATATTTGAATATAAATAATAAAATAGGAAAATTACTAATACATAATTCCAGTATTCAAATAAGTAAAAACTAAATTATAACTCTACGTTTAATTTAAAGTATTCAAATAAACACTGAAAATTGTTTGGATTCTCTCATAACTATATTTTTGTTCCAAACAAGTACCATAATAAGGTCACCAGGCAGTCAGAAATTAACCCAGTTACTAAATAAAAAAAAAAAATGGAAAAATACTTTGAAGTATAAAATCATAAGTTTATATTAATTAACGTAGAAATAGAGTGTTAGGTATATTTAACGCTCAAGTTTTTAATTTGAAATGTGAACTCGAGTTTGATAGTTAAAAGTTTATAATAACCGTGGCGCTTCGCATCGAACAAGAACTTCGATATACTAACACTAAACGTTGTAGCTGTAAAAAGATTTACTTAGTCGACCAATAAAATGCAACAGTGGCAGGACACAGGGAGTAGGGCAGTGCAATAAATGCATTCAGTTTAACCGGGTCCGATCGATGTGAGGGTATTTACCTCGCCGGGCGAAAATAATCCGGGTGCCGGTGATGTCAGAAGACGTCGCCACTGCGCGTGCGTACTGAACGTGAACGTAAAAATGTGTGGATGCGCTTTCAAAGCCTTATTACTCGAGCGGCGTTAACACGACGAGCTTTCGCATCGTGGACGGTACCAGTGGGCAACTAGTGAGCAGTGGTTGTGCTTTGTGATGAGTGATCGTGCGGGCGGCGGTCGACGGAGGCATGTCCTGCGGCTTGTAGGTTGATGGCTCGGCGGCGAGGTGCCGGGCGTCAGTCGGTCGCCGGGCCGCGGACAGCCGGGCGCGCGTGTGAGATATGGCGCCCCGCGGCGGCCGGTGAGGCGCCGGCCCCGCCGACCGCCTCGGGTCGACGGGCCTGCCCGGTCATACGGACTCTCGTCCCACCATGTCCTTGCTCAGCGTCACAGGTTGGTTTTCGCGCCACTTTCATACTCACTTTTATCTAGAATTTATTTCATGTTGTTACGACACGTTATATAGTGCGAAGCGTGAGAGCCGCAAGCTTTGTTTTATCTGGAAATTGTTAATAGTTATGAGCGTATATAACAAAGCGTTATGGGACGTCGTGCGTCGATGTTATTTCGCAAAATGCTTTTAATTTTAGTTGTTTGTTAGTGGATCGGCATCAGTTTAAGCATTGTTTAGATAATTTTTAAGCGTTTGCTTAAAATTAAGTTGAAAGCTTCCAGTTACGGTGGCTTTTATTTGGTATAATCATAAAAATACATAGTTAGTGTTTGTAATAATAAATATTTTAAAATAATGCTGTCACAAAACAGTATTATATTTTAATGATCTTATAAGATACTAGATAGATATACATATATTTGTTTTGGTATCTCACCTTACGTGTATAATGATAGAGGTTCTCAGTAACGTCTAAACGAATCGAGACTCCACTTAAACAAAGAGGTTATACTTTCATCCTAGGTCCTTTCATCTTTTCAGCGCAACACTTATATAAATAGCTTGCTCGAGGCCCGTATTCGCTTAATGGTTCTTCTATTTAGAACTGTTCAAAAGCGGGATCAGAGAGCCGATATCATTCCTTTGAGAAAGTTGCTTTATTTCACGAACGTATATAAAATGAATACGAATTGGTTCAGTTACATAGTAGAAGTTAGTTTTTTAACTCTACAATTTCTTTAATAGAAAAGAATGTGAAAGTTAAAAAATAGAAGTAATATTAATATTTAACACAATTTTTAACAAAATTAAATTTACATACTTAAATAAAAAAAAATAAAGCCCTTAAAAAGGGCTGAATATATATAAAATATTATCTTACATTCTGTGGCAAATTTAATATTGCGAATGTTAAATTAAAAATGTTAGCAATGTATAAAATAGAATTCGCTTTGATGTAATAATACTTTTATGTTCCAAAGTAGGTCGTATAATATTTCGGGTGGACTAAAGGCTTTCTAAATCCGGGAGCGCATTTATACCAACACTCTATCATGTATCCAATAACAAATGCATCGGAGTTGAACGACCGACACGAAAACGTGTAATTCCTATTTATTCGTCTAACTTGTTAAGCATTTGCCGAAAATCCGCAGTGTATCGGATTCATTGTAAAAGAAAGCTCAACACCTAGCCATTAGGTTCAATTTCTCTTGAACTTCTCCAAATTGTGGGCTGGAAAATTGCTACGTTATTCGGTGCATTTGCGAACAACGTCTGGCTTCCATTTCTGATTAATTGAAGCTTACATTGTAATTGGCGATTAAAATAAAATACTTTATTAATCAATGAACATAATTAAGCTTATAATTTTACACGAATTAATTTAATCAGATTATTATATAACAATATTTTTTATTCCAACATTTATTATTTTCAACAGATAATGGAAACTTGATATTTAGTCAAGAACTTATTGTAGTAATAAGTATTATTATTATTTTATATTATTATAAAATTTTGATGTACCATGACTTATTTATTTTCTTTATACCTACAAAGTCCATAGTGTTGGTAGTTTATTAAAATTTATCTCTCTCTTAAGGTGCCATAGTGACAAATATATTTTTCAGGCGAGAAGTTAGAGTTCCCGCGTGAGAGGCTGCGCTACGAATTTTACTTTGATATACATTTTACAAATAACTAGCGAATCACCCTCCCTTCGCTTGGGTTCGTCCCTAAGTTGATTCCCCATAGAAACTTTCATTCCCATTGTCACCGCGTTAAGGGATGATTTCCGGGATAAAAAGTATCCTAAGTCCTTCCCAGGGTCTCAAACTATCTTCTTACCAAATTTCATGTAAATCGGTTCAGTAGATCCAGAGAGTATGAGGTTGTAGGGGACAACCTCATAAACTCACAGACTCACAAATTTTACCTCTTTATAATATTAGTGGGTATAGAGTCATAGACTATATAGATGAATCTCAATTTTGTATTCATATTGTTTGCTATTTCTGTCTTCATAATTTCTCACATGATAATATATATTTTTTATATAACGCACAGTAGAGATGGCGACAAATACGGCGTGTGTCGTATCACATGTCGACGAGCATTTTTTTTTTGTTTAAAAATGACTATTTTAAAGTTGTCTTAAATTTTATTAACGATTTGTCTACCTCAATTTAAAAGTCATATAAAGTGACTCACGTGATTAGAAAAAAAAAATCATAAAAAATACTTTAAAATTATGTTAAATAAAAAAAAAAGGAAACTTGACCTCTGTCTTTTGAAATCCTGTTTTGTATTTATGCCCATAATAATAAAGAACTTAATATTAGCGTGTATTTCGTCTATTTAAAATTTATAATAATTCCTATTAAAATTTTTAAAAATGTAGAGCTCGAGAAGCGATTTTATGTAGTTATGGCGGTTTAATTTTTATTGATGACATAAAAAGTTATATATTGTCGCAAAATCAAAAACAAGTATTAGTTTGCAAAAACCATAAAAATATAAAAAAAAATGGTACATTTAAAGATATTGCTATCGATATCGATAAAATATTCGTTTTAGTATGCCTTTTCACAGATGTTATGATTTTACAATCAAGAACCAGATTTTTTATAATGAATCTTAATATGTAGGTACAATTGCGATATTTGAACTTGCGGGAAGTTATTATCGTTATCAGACATTACGTATATGATTCTACCTTACATTATTATGTAATACGAACACATTCATATGCGAGGAGAAAACGGTTGACATCCATATTATTAATATTAATAATATTATAAATGTGAAAGTGTGTTTGTTTGTTTGTTGTTTGTTTGTTTGTTTGTCCTTCTTTCACGTCGTAACTGAGTGACGGATTGGCGTGTTTTTTTGTGTAGAGATAGTTGGAGAGCTGGAGAGTGACATAGGCTTTTTACCGCGGGAGATTATCTAATTCCTGCAGGAAAATACGTTATAATACAATCCAAAAAAATATTTATGTTCAGAATTACTTGAAACTTAATGCTCTTTAATAAAATTAAATAAATACGTGTTTCAGCATTTTTCAAAATTCATCCTATAAGGCGGTAAAATAGGGGATGAAAGTTTGTATGAAACTATCTTTTTAGAGATTTTTTGTAGTTATAGCGCGAGCGAAGCCGCGGGTTCTGCTAGTGTTATATAAGTATAACATAAAAGCTGGTGTATCACACACATGTTGTTACGGTTACCATGACTTCCAATAATGTTTGTTAGGAAAATGACTTTGGGGTCGGCCATGGCAAATGGTACGGATATAGCGAAAATATTTCCTCAAATTATATTGACTAGGACGCGAGATGTTAAGCTATTCGTTTTGATTTGTGTAGGTTCATTTTCTTATGTTGTAAGTTGAAATTTAAAGTAATTAAAACATCGAGTACGTAGCATTTAGAAAACCAACAGTGTCCAACCAACTTATGGCTCCAAGTCTCTAAGTGTGGATTTTCATATATTTTTGTAATTTTTATAGTTATATTTTGGTTGATCAAATAAAAAAAAATAGGTTCGATAAGATTTCTCAATTTAGAAACTATAAATATTATCTCCCTTCAATAAAATACAGTATTTTTAAGAGATTTAATTAAAAATAAGTAAAGTGAGTTTTTATTCTTTTTTTTCAGCTACGAGTATGCATAAACAACTTTTTAATGGTCCTTATCGACCTAAAAATTCAAACTGCATTACCACCAATGAGATCTTTATATTTATACTTATAATTCAGGTCAAATCTAGATCACTCATTAATTGATAGTAAAATTTATAAATTATTTTATACTAGCATTGCCCGCGGCTCTGCCCGCGTTCAGATGACCAAAAACCGAATTCTTAGATTTTACATAGTAGTAAGTATACTCGTACACTGCAGTTTTTGTATTTTTTCTCAAAAATGAGATATTTTCTCGCGGTAAAAAGTATCCTATATGTTGACCCGGATAACCAGCTATCACCATACCAAATATCATAAAAATCCCTCCAGTGGTTTTTCTGTGATGCGGTAACAGACAGACAGACAAAAATTCTAAAAACTATAGATTCGGACTGTGTATCGATGATAATGTCTATTTCAATAAGATTTTCCAAAAAATATTTAATGTACAGATTCGGCTTAGTTACAATTTTATTATATGTATAGATATCCTAATGATTCATGGAGGAGGAACCTCCTTAACAACTGGAAAATTCTACGTCAATTTGCTTAACACAAGCAGAATACTAACAATGTTTGGCCCTTTGCCACGCTTGTGTGATAAATTATTCACTATTATCCCCCTTCGATGCCCCATGCCACCCGTGACATGACTTCAAACTTATCGGCTAATCTATACTCCAAATATGGCATAATATCTTTTTAATGGTGGGATTGAATAAAATTAGGTGAGATATCTAATAGGCAACTTTGCTATAATAATTGGTTTTATTTATATAACTATGTATATTACACAGTAGCATTGCCCGCGGCTCCGCCTGCGTTCAGATGACTAAATATCAAATTCTTAGGTTTTACATATTAGTACACTCTTACAATGAGGTTTTGTATTTTTTCTCAGAAATTAGATATTTTCCCGTGGTAAAAAGTATCCTATATGTGGACTCGGATAACCAGCAATCACCATACCAAATTTCGATATTTCAATAAGATTTTCGAAAAAAATATCTAATGTACAGATTCGGCTTAGTTACAATTTTATTATATGTATAGATATTTCTTTAAATATTTGTAAAGTATATATAAAGTTACAAGTACATACATATTTATTAAATCGTCCTGATCTATATCGATATTAGATAAGTGATGATACTATATTATGTATGTTTGCATCAAAATGATTTATTTCTATTGCTACAATCAATGAAGATATTACTTTTCTTTTTATGATTTCTCTTTGAAGTCAGAAGCGTTAGATTTCTCTGGGGATAGAATAGATATTCTGTCGTATTTACGAGTCGACGGCGACTCAAAAATGCACGACGAAGATTTTTTTTTCAAATAATATGTATACTTATTTTCAAATATACATAAACATAAGTATGGGGCTTAATTATAAATAATATGGTTTATGATATACCGTAGATATTAACGTAGTGTAAACAAAAATATTATCGTTTATATAATATTTTTTAGGTCCCATTTCTCGATTTATTACAATTTTTACCCGACTGCTAGGTAAGGGTTATATTTTTCGCGCCTATCTTCATATGTTTGTAATATTCTTTATTCCTTCATATCTTCCAAACCACTCGATGTATTTCTTTAATTAGGTATCGTTAGATCCGTCTCATTAGTCCAAGTGTTCTTAGATAGGTGACATAAAAAATAAATAAATATGGCGGCTGCTACATTCCATAATGTAAAAAAGAAAAAATGAAAATCGACGATTAAAAATGAAAGTGTTGTATGGTTGAATAGGTATTTAAAAATAATTTGGAGGTTTTTTTCATCATTTTTTATTTGAAATAACAGTTTAGGATATTTAATGATTTAAAGTTGGTTAACAACCATTCTCGCTAATTTTCCTACTTAAAAATATTTAAAAAGCTGTAAATAAATAAATATATTATAAAAATAAAAAAACCCGACTGCATAAAAGCTAACTAAAAAGATGAAAACAAGCTCACGATGGAATAATATATAGTATTATGCAGTCGGAGACATACATACATACGAGTATGTACGTACATCTTGCGGCAAGGATCCAAGGATCTATCTAAGGATCTATCTCTTGTATCGTGATTTTTATAATTTACATACATACACACATTCGAGCTACGAGTATTTACAGTAGTTTTGAAATTTAAGATACAAATTATATGACACGTATAATAAATAAAAATTTCTTTTCCAAATTAATTTTAACTATAATTTGACGTTCGCAGATCGGCGGGCACTATATAAATCCATCATGCTTAAAAATACGGACGAGTGAGATTCAGATGCAAGTTGAGGTTCAAATTAAATATAATTTTAACAAGTTTTTTTATATGTACAAGTAATCTTTCTCTATGCCTTTATATGGTAGAGAGAGAGAGAGAGAGATGATAAAATATCTAGATTTCTATTTGTAAAATCGATGTGTGTACGCATGTTGCCTGCGAACTCCAAAACGGCTGGAGCGATTTTGATGAAATTTTCAGGCTTCTCTCAGGTTAGTCCAGCGGGTGATCCTATAAAGTTTGGTAACGATCGCAAGATTTAACGCGGGCGAGGCGGGTACTGCTATTTTACAATAATCTGACTTACAATTATTTATTCAGAGTTAACTCATCTGAAAATTTTATTAATTTGGCGAATTACAAATTATATATTATTAGACAACCACGCTGCTATTGCGGGTTTAAGTTCATAATGTACAATATATTGCTTGGAAATTTAAATAAGGCATAGGAACGATATACCTGAACGTGAGCTCAGAATCAGAATATGAGATTTCCATATATTTTATTAACATGAGTCGAGGACTATTTTATTAAATCAATTTTGTTAAGGCGGCTGCCTCTCAAAATAATAGAAGGTATAACCACTTAAACGAATCAATTAAATGCTCATTGTCGTTATTACAAATCATTATACATCGCACTAGCATTGCTCGCGGCTCCACCCGCGTTCAGATGACCAAAAACCAAATTCTTAGGTTTTACATATTAGTATACTCTTACATTACAGTTTTTGTATTTTTTCTCACAAATAAGATATTTTTCCGCGGTCAAAAGTATCCTATATGTTGACCCGGATAACCAGCTATCACCATACCAAATTTCATGCAAATCCCTCCAGTGGTATTTCCGTGATGCGGTAACAGACAGAGAGACAAAAATTCTAAAAAACTATAGCTTCGGCCCCTGTATCGATAACAAAGTTTTTTATAATAAGATTTTCCAAAAAATATTTAATGTACAGATTCGGCTTGGTTACAATTTTATTATTTTTTTACCGCGGGAAAATGTCTCATTTCTGAGAAAAAATACAAAAACTGCGTTGTAAGTGTATACTTATATGTAAAACCTAAGAATTTGCTTTTTGGTCATCTGAACGCGGGCGGAGCCGCGGGCAATACTAGTGTTATATATTTTTTGAAATCATTGAAAGAAACATTTAAAATACTATTAAGTATAATGTATATTATAACTTTATACTAAACGCCCGTCTAATACTTTTAAAGCGATGTCAAAAGTCAGGTATTCTTCAGGAAATGTGTCAAGATGGGACGTTTTGAAACTTGCCACGACATAACAGCGTGACACTTGTCTGGTTTCCATTCCTTGTTAAAGAACCTATCTACTGGCATAACCTTTATTCTACCCCTACGCGTTCGGCTGACGAGTCCAAATACGTATTCTCCTTTAAAGAGTACACTTTCAATGAAATCTTCATATTACTTGAAATTAGCTTATACTATCTTACAGAAGCTTACTGTTTGGAAACGGCTTTCATTCAAAGTATTTTTCTTTTTCATGAAAAAGGTTTTAATAATAAATCAACGCGTTCAGAAATATAAAGATTATTTATAGCATTTCATAACATGTAATAACATTACTTAAGCATTAAAATTAATTAAATAAAAAAAAATTAGAAGTTTGTTCTTTTGTCGTTTTATGGGGGAAAGAAAATGGCAAATCTACGTTGTAATAAATCTAAGTTAGATTTAGTTCATGGTTATAGCTAATAATGATTTTCTACTAAAAATATTATTTATCAGTTATGTACAGAAAATATGGATATAGATAGAGTAGAATTTGTATGTAGGAGTACAGGTTAGATTTCGCTTTGGTTGCCATCAGCTTTGGTTGAGGAAATATCTGTGCCTAAAATACTAACATTCGTCTTGAGTGAAAATCGAATCTGCATCTCTCAATACAATATATATATATATATATATATATATATATATATATATATATATATATATAATGTACATAAATACCTGAAGTAAAGATTTTCATACTTATACTACGTATTTGCACTTGTTTAACTTGTTTGTTTTTTGTTCCCACTGACACATTTTCTTACGAAATCCTTTAGGTACAAAATCAGGCTAACGGTTATTGCAAAAGCTTTGTTTTATTAAAAAAAAACTAGGATTCCTATTTTCCATGTAAGGCAGAAACTGGGGCGGTTCGCTCGCTGTTATTCTTGACGATAGCATCTATTTTCGTGCTTTTAAATAATGATTGCTTTTATATAAAAAATTGGTAAAGAAGGTCATGAGAGCCCAGTAGCAGTGCGTGCTCGCTTGAAAAATCGAATAAAGTGGATTCAAATCACAAGACTCGCATCTTTGATATTCTCATGACGGCACGTTTGGCTCAGTTTGTAGTGAACCTACTTGCTGTGCCAGCGGTCGCGGGTTCGAATCCCGCTGGGGGCATTCATTTGTGTGATGAGCACGAATGTTTGTCCCAGTTTGTCCCAGTCATGGGTGTTTATATTTATAATATATATGTATTTAAAGTTATATATGTGTAGTGTATCAACTATCTAGTATCCATAACACAAGTCTCGTAGCTTACCATGGAACTAGACGGTGATATGACCGGTGGTGTGGGAGAACCTAGGACGTTTTCGAAAATTATTTGAAGTCCATCATCCCGCATTTGGCCAGTGAGGTGGACTACAGCCTGATCCCCATCGCATTGAAGGGGAGCGTATCCAGCAGATAGAATACGATAATTTTTTTTAAAAGCTTTATAAATGATTAATATATAATCAGAGCCGAATTTAAGATTTATTTCCCGACTTTCCTAGCACACACGTGCAAAGAAATCTGACGGAAACATTCTAAAGCTCTCAAAGCAACTCGCAAAACCATTTTAATAGTGAATTCTTGCATTTACAAAATATAAATGCAAAAGGTTCTTTTTTATGGTTTTTATTTCTTACTACATTTTATGATGTTTACTCCATTAACTTTTATGCTTGATTTATCTAGTCCTTTCTAAAAAGATGCTCCTAGTTGAACTTTCGACATAAAGGACGTTAGCTTTGCATTGTATATACATACATGTACCAATATTCATTTTGTGCGCATTTGCACAACATTTATCCAATTGAGTTGAAACCTTATATAATAACTAGCATTGCCCGCGGCTCCGCCCTCGTTCAGACGACCAAAAACGAAATTCTTAGGTTTTACATATTAGTATAATCTTACATTGCAGTTTTTGTATTTTTTCTCAGAAATGAGATATTTTCCCGCGGTAATAAGTATCCTATATGTTGACCTAGATAACCAGCTATCACCAGACAACAGACAGACAGACAGACAAAATTTAAAAAAACTATAGATTCGGCCTCTGTATCGATAATAATGACTATTTCGATCGATAATAATGAATAAGATTTTTCAAAAAATATTTAATGTACAGATTCGGCTAAGTTACAATTTTATTATATGTATAGATAATTATTGCTACTTGCACGAAAGTTGACATATCGTGTTAAATTATTAGAAATTTATTGATGTGAATACACCTCAACAAATCTGAGTAAGAGGTTAATAACAAATACTCAATTTAAAAGTATATACAATACGTACAAATAAAAATGAAATGTGCACTAAATTTCTTCTGTATAACTCATAAGAGGTTATGTTTGTAATTCGTATTTTTTCAGTTTAAAAGCTAAAAACCCGTGTTTAAATAAGAATGAAATGTAATAAAAAATTTTTAATAAATATACGCAACTTTAATGAAAATACATATAATAAAAGCTCTTATATCATATTAAAATTTTACTTAAGTAATATAATTTAAGCAAAAGTTTAACGTAAACTAAACGTAATACTAGCAAAATAATATTCAACTCATGTAGAGATACGAACATATGTTGTAAAACTAAGAATCACGCATATCTAAGTGTTTAAATACTGGCTGGAATCTGATCTCCGACAAGAATGCTTAGCACACGCAAGCACGCTTAATATTGATAACCCGTCATATCTCGCCACTTACACTTAATAGAGGGACGTGACTCCGGTCTTAGAACAGACAGTCTCATATTATACTCACAGATATTATATGTTAAGGCGGTTTGGTTCTTCAGATTTAATATGAAATAAGCTAAAAAGTGTTTAAATTATTTTATTTTTAATTTTCTTCTACAGTAATATCAGCACTAAAGCGATCTTACTTTGCTCTTTTTACACGTTATTTTTTTCCTTAGGAATACTTTATAGACTTGGTTTAGAGTATTTTTATTGAATTAACTTGTAATTATGTCATTAAATTATTAAAGCATTTAATTTTATTCTTATTTTTCATTTTTACTTTTGACGAACGTCTTATTGTCGTGTAAGTTTAAAATTTCATGAGTATGTGAAATTTTGATGATAATATATTAATCCCTCTACGACCGCGGAAACGCCGCGCCGGCGTGTCAGTTAACAATAGATTTCTTAGAATTTTAATTAATTTCTTAGAAATATACCTGGAGGTGTTAATGTAATACCATCGAGCTGATTTGACGATGGAGCTAAAAGTCACAATGATTAATAGTAAAATATTTAGCTTATTTAATTTTTTACTACATTTTTACATACTGTAGTGTATGGGGTCATACAGTAGGTATGTACGTAAAAAGTTAGTATATTTCGTTTTTATAAGGTTGAGCGTTTATATGTATATTGTATAATATTGTTTCGTAATTCCTAATTGTATATTTTTAATCTAAACCTTTACAAAACTTAATGAATCGACCAAAGGTCAAGTACGTTTTCCGATTTCGGTAAATAGCGAGCCTCTAAGTGGTGGGTGTAGACTAACTTTGAATAAATTTTCTTCTAATTTGTTTTACAGCCCCTGAAACATTTGCTAAAGGGTCTTTAAATTTATATAAAATAAATATCATCAAATATCATAATTATATACATACAGATGTACTATGTAGGTAGTCCGTTTGTTGTTGAGTTAAAGGATTCATTTTAAATATCTGTACTTTCTATGGCCTTAAAAGAAATGCAGCACCAAATATTCATTCCTTTAAAGTGCATTACTTTCAAAGTTGATGAATAGAAAATAGGAACTCTACAATCGTAGAAGCAAAGACTTCTCATTGTGTGTTTCCGGTTGTGGCACTCAAATAATATGTATTTGTTATCTACAGCTTATATATTAAAACAAAACTATAAAGCAAAAGCAAATATTAAAATTAATATAACAAAAGTCCAAATATACCCTGTTCGATCTGCCCAGAATATGTTTAAAATATAACCTACTTATAATAACGTATTTTTAAATTTGAAAGTAATATTTAAAAAATATAATAATATTTAAATTCATTATAATTATAATATTTAATAATATTAAAAAAAATTATAATATTAAAAAAAAAAAGAATAATATAGCGTTATTTTTTATGATTTTGATTCTAAATGCAGCAAATATTATCTGACAGAGTGCAATTGTGTTCTATATATATATATATATATATATATATATA